CGACTTAATTCCATTATAAATTGAGAACATAATAGCATTGAATAGGGGTATTGGTATTAGTCATAATAGTATGTACAGTGGGTGCACTTAAGTTGATATATAGCATAGGTATGGGAAACTAAACCTAAATTTTAGCACATGTCGCCATTTTATCATCCAAAGTTTTCTGAGAGTACAGACAGACCGATCGATATCTTCGAGATTTTGGTTGATTCGGATTTCTTGTGCTTCAAAACGTGTATTTCCGTAAAGGGAGTGGGGGGGGGGGTCATTTTTTACCCCACTGCAATACCTCCCTTACAAACGTGCGGGTTTGTTATTATCAGAAATTTGATTATATTTAAGTTGCCAAGTGGCAAGGTGGAAAGTTGACGGCGGGACATAGGAAAATACAGTTTCGGCAATTCCTGCTCCCTATTTCATCCTACCGGAAAAATAAAAACATCCTCGGATAGATAATTAAAATATCCATCGGATGACTTAAAAATACGCAACTGTGAGGTCTCATGCAAGCCTAAAAATTAAGTACCTATGGAAAAACAAAAAAATCCAAAGAATTTCAAGAATGTTATGGATGAATCTGAAGAATTAGAAAAGTCGGATGATTCGAAGAAAAGACACTTGAAGAACCCAAAGTACCAAACAGAACTCGAATAAGAATTCAAAGGAAAGTCTCAGTAATTTACAGGGCACGATAAGTCCAAATAATCCGTGGAAAACGAAAAATTAGGATTGAGTTCGGAGAAACGTATCACTATGAGTTGTTCGGATTCTTTGGTTCGTGAAACAAGTCAGATCCTTAACATTCTTCATTTTCGAATTCTTCTGATTCTTTATTCTTCAGTTTGTTAAGAGTCTTTCGCATTTTCCAATTCTTCCTGATGTCAGAAACAAATCTATAAGCGCTGCTTAATACCTATAATAAAAATGATTACTATTAGTCTTTAGCGGTAATATAATAGTTTTAGTAAACACAACTTTGAAAGGCGAAGTTCATATTATATGTATCATGTTCATAAGGATAGGTAATTAAATTGTGAGATCATACGGACGGAGGCTACTAAGAGGATTAAAAGTAATACTCGCACATTTTTAGTTTCCAGAAGTAGGTTAAATGAGTGAGTAGGTACTCCTTCATTTAATTTCTCCTGGTAAACTCATTTATTAAGAAGGATATTATACCATCTTTTTTTAATTTCTTTGGAGGCCCCTTGTAGTAGAGTAAAACAAATTTCACTAATTATTATTCGTGTATTTTAAAACAAAATTTATGGGTAGAAGAGGCAGAATTCATTCATCCATTTCATTTATTTCTAACTTCAGGACGGCTCTTAAATTAATTTACCGTGGCTCGTTAACGCGAGCTATTTTGATAGCGATAAACCTCCCTAACCAACATATAACGACTACAAAACAAGTTGTAATGCGTGACTTCTAAGTCAGGAAGCACTTCTACAACCATTACAACTCCCAGCAATTATATGTTCCTTGTGTCTAGATAATAAAAAGCTTTATATGAAACGAAAGTTGTGGCCGTTTTCTACTTTTTCATTAGTGCTAATGGACATTTGGTTCACAATACGAAAAACTGTGCTGCACCTTCCTACAAAGAGAATAATTATTTCATCAATTCAAAAAATATCATCGTAAATGTATGTGACTTTATAGAGATGTATGCCACCTGTACTGGTATCTAACAAATCAAATTAAACTAAACCTGGAATGAAACTGGAATGTATAGGATATCGATGAAGATAGCAATTGTTTGGGGAGGTTTAACATTGGGATTACTGCAACCGGAGCGAAAACGGTCATTCAAAGTAGGCTATCCCAGATTTGAGGCTTGAGGGAACATGCGCTTAATTATACAAGCAAAGCTCATGTAAAATTCGCAACGCTCAAAATTAATTTTACGGCAGAAAAAGAAATATTGTTATCGAGAAAATATGTAAATACAAGTTACAAGTAAGTACAAAGTTATAGCGGAGTTATTTCACTAACCTCTCCATTGAAATTCCTGTCTAAAGGTTTTAGTTGGAGGGCAGAAACTGATCATAAAAATGCTTTGCAACCGCCTTTTATAATCGTGTAATACGAAATGCGAAATCTTAAACTTGTGCACGAGTTGCAATAAGATTCACGGGATGAAATCAATCCCTAAAGTGTTTCTAAGGTGCAGTGGAAAAGAATCTTCACATTTGAGTATAAAAGCACTTAATCCAATGCGAAACGATAGTGTGAGGTCGTATCGATTTGCAATGAAATTCACGGAATTAAGTCAACCCCTAAAGTGTTTAAAAATTCATCACTAAGGTCTGCATTGGAGGAGAACGCATAACTATAAAATTATTTACTCCAACGCGCAATCACTGTGGGCTCTCATCGACTTGCAAGGGGATTAAAGGAATGAAATCAACCCCTAAAGCGGTTACTGTTTCATCAGAAGAGCATCTGGAATTACATTTGAATATGTATTCAGCTAATTTCACACCATATACATTAAAAATTAAGCTCTAGTCGAATCTTGTTTGTGAGTATTTCTAGATTATCATCAGGGAATGCGTAGTAGATTGTTTACAAGTAAAGAAAAGTGACAGTTTTGCAGCGAGTGAAAATAGTTGCCATTTCCTTTTATATCGAAAATAACACCACTTGAACATTTTCCATCCTTAAATTTGAATCCAAATATCGTAAATGTAGTTTTTTCCAGAGATTTTCGTCAATAAAACATCAGATCTCAGATTTATCATTCAGAAAGATTTTAATATTGAGATCAGAAAGTACCAAAAGTCTTGTTCTGGTCTAGTTTTGAAGATACTCGATATTCCCCACAATTTAAATGAATCCCTAATATTAAATTCAATTGCAATGCATTCATCTCACTATATGAAACGCGATTTATTATTGGTTGAAACGAAACATTTTGGTTATGGTGTATACTGATACTCTCAATAATTAAGATACGTAGGTACTTGTTCATAAGCATTAACGAGCATTTTTTGCCTTTGAAGTTGAAGATACTGATGTAATGAAATGCATTTGATATTCTAATGTGTGATATTCTACGTGGTAGGTAAAGAAATGTCAATGTGCCGGAAAACTACAGAATCGCTTTCTAACTTAATTTGTTTTTATACAATATTTTAATTTTACAATGTTTTGTGTAAATTGATATATCTATTATATTAATAAACCATTTTTGTATTATGATCAGCTTTTAATTTCAGATATGACGTATTCGGTATAGATACCTCTAGATCTAATATAATTTGAAATAGTATATTAAGTATGGAGAACGGTAAGGGATTTTTACCGTTCGAAGACAATTGTTTGGAGGAGGAGCGAAGCGACGACTCCAATTATTGTCTGAGAACGGTAACCCTTAACGTTCGACGTGCTTATAACATTTTTTGCGCGATCGAGATTAAAATTATAAATATGCACTAAATTAACGAGCAAAATAAATCGAAATGATCGAAGTGGTATGGTGTACATCACTAGGTATAACCAGTCAAAATTGAAATTAATAATTTCATAAAATTGTGCATGTGCCGATGTAGTTTGCTAGCTTTGCACTTCCTTTATGACTTTATGAGCGAGGTATTCCCCGGTGGCCGAATGGTATGTCGAAGATTCTTTACAGAACAAAATTGTAATTGGAATGTGTTAAGAAAAACGAAAGCGCATCTTCAAACACATTGATCTCTATTGCTTCAGGTTTAAATGAAGAACGTGTTCTTTCTATAGGAAACAACAGCACAAATTGTGGGTTTAATGTAACAATAATTAAAGACTAAATGTTATGTAAGACTGTTGATTTTGAACTGATTGTTTTTAAAAAGGCTTCGGTAAGTATTTTTGCTGTTCTGTTTATAGATCGGTAAGTAATTTTGGCGTCGTCGTAATCATAGCAACTGGTAAATTCTACGTACTGTCATGGAAACACACATGGTAAATAGTCAGAAATGACCAATCGCGCAAAAAATAAACTTTGGCATGTTAGAATTTCCAAATTAAATATGGGTCACGGCATAGAGGAAATACAATTTTCTTTATGATCACGGTATGAAGTGAAATACAAAAATTGGTAAATTATATACGTACAAAAGTCTATTTTGCTTTTATCCCTTTTATATAACTTTGTATTCGCTGTATCTTACTAAAACACCCTTTTAGGGTCAAGTGCTTTAATATTTACTGTATGATGTCTCTTATTAGGCGGTAATAAACAGGTTAGTGCACATTAAATAAATAGTTCATTAGTCCTACAAACAAACAGTCACACTCTTGAATAATAATATTTTTTAATGAAAAAAATCTTACTAACAAATATATTACTAAACATAAAAAGGCAGTAGGTAGGTATAGGAATATTTCAACTGATCATATTATAGTTTAGTTCCCAATAAATAGTTCAATTCCGAGTTCAATTCATATGGCTTATAAACAAAGGATCATACCTAAGTAATAATGTTATTGCAATATGAAAGACCATATTACGATTACCGATAAATACATTGTTACTAATGCTAAAAAGCGAATCGATGTAAGGGAGTTGAGAACGGTTGTAATATACGGGGTTTCTACCTGTAATGTGGTCAGGTGTCAGGTCATCTTATTTAATTTGTAGTATTAAAGAATAAAGACCATGCTGAACGCTGTCCCGAAACTAAATAGGTAGTGAACGACCGTACCGTAAGAGTCCTTTGATTAGGGTGAGCGCATGAATATCTACAACTTCTCAAGTTTTTTACATTCTTGGCTTAGTGGCTTTTAATTTTTTATTTACCTAAGAAATAAAACATAGCTATTATCCAAGAATACTTAATAAATTATTAGTTACTCTTTGCTGTTGCCATTGCTTTTTTTTATACAGGTCGGAATGAAATCGTAAAGACCACGCAACCCATATAACAGCATTGAATCTCGTCTAGACGAGAATTTCTCGACAAATTCATACTACAAGGGATCCATAAATAATTCTAGAAAAATTAACTTACCGGTCGCGGATCCTGTCGCAACAGCAGCGACACCAGCGGCAAGTTTGCCAACCTCCTGCAAAACCGGCGGGACAAGGCCTCTACTTGCACTCGTTTTAGAGATGCGTATAGGCGATAAATGTTTTATTAATTTTTTAGGTGCATTAAAACTTGAGTCACTCATTTTGCAACATTTTCGGCAAATACGTGCGGGATACTGACAACGTGCGCGCGTCCCAAAATTTACAACACGCATGCGTGTGCCACAAATCAATTGGATTTCCTTTTAGATGACAAATTAACGTCTACTTTGCACATAATTTGTGTTATAAATACGAAACGGATCCAACAGTTTTGCAGTAAGTGGGTTTATAATGATGGATATTCGATAAATTTAGTGATTAGGTGTGGCACATTCTTGAAATAGTTGTGGTAGAAACCAAGAGATGTCCGTAAGTTTTCGGAACCAGATAAACAGATAAGAAAGGCATCCACTGGACTGCGCTCTACAGAAATCGTTTGTACTTTGTACACTCAGCGGAACAGTTTTCGATAATAGCAAGGCATGCTAACGATGTGTTTCGGTTTTGTCAAAATGTCAATTCCAAATTGGCAGAAAGTCAAATAGTGACTTTTCTCTATCGCTGAAAGTAGCAAACGCATTTCAGAAGGTAAAAAAGTGTCTGATAAACGTTATAGCAATAAGAGATAGGTATGTATTTCTGTCTCATTTTTGCCACCACCACCAAATGAAGTCGGCAACTTAATTAGAAATGGAATTATGGCATGGAGAGACGACGCTTGGAGTTTCAGTAATAATCTCCGACGGTATCAAACATCACATCATATCGTACGTCTTCGGCACACGCAAAAGTAGTAATTAGTGACAACGCGTTGATAATTAACAAAAATGAGCGGGAGTAAAAAACTAATGAAGCAGTACATTAAAGCGACCCTAAATATACTCCACCGTTTCATTGAACTGGTGGCGAGATTCATTTTTAAGTTAACTTATGGGACCACCGGACAAAAAATGCCCCCTATTAAGGATCTTATTTTATTGGAATCGGTCACATCCGTTGCGTATAAAATTAGAACAAGAAAAGTGAGTAAATTTTTTCTTTAATTTTTGAAACTAAGAAATTTGCTAAGCATTCCTTCTGCTCTTCTGCATGACCAGAAATAAACAAGCTCAACTTATTATTTCATTAGGTTTTCTGCACACCTACAAATTTGACAAAAGAAAGAAGGAAGCTATTCCGATGTGTAAAACGTAATTTAGACGTGTTATGCCTCGATCCCACCAAAAGGTAAAGGCAACAGAAGTATTTCCATTATTGATTGATTGGAATTTCGTAATTAAAAGAGGGAGAGCTAGAAATTTGCATATATCCTTGTTTTCACAGTGTATAAAAATGGACCGGAAAGTCTCGTGATATCGTGTTTTGTATTCAAGTAGGTATTCAAAGGTTGCTAAAATATGCTGTTAGCAAATACATTTACGCACAAAAGAATGTTTTACGGAATCGGTTGTAGTTGGGAACTACGTCCCCAAAGGTCCCGGTTTTTTCTCCTTTTCTCAACCGCAACGTATGAGGATGAGATTTAAAAAAATTATCTACGATTTTTCAATATAAAATTTCGTACATGTTCCCAAAATTCCTACTGCAAGATATAATTTTGCACTTCGCGTGGATCAGCGTCGGGAGTACAATCAAGGTTTTCGAACTGGTAAACATTTTAAGTTCACTGTCGTACCATTGAATAATTATTATTCAATGGTCGTATGCTACAGCTACGCACTACATAATTTTTTGCGCGCGTTCAGGTGCTCATACAGTAAATTTAAAAATTAGTCCTAGCCAAGAGTGGCCAACGGGCCTCCATTTTGCTACAAAAGAGTATTATTACAGATTGTTTCGTACATTTACATAAAATTGTGGTGTAAGGAAAAAAAGTTCCATGGGCAACATGTGAAAAAAGGACAAATGCACTATGTCGAACAAAAGAAAGGGATCAAGTGTAGGTAATTCCTTCTGCACATTAGGTACATTTTTACCACCCGCACGTTAGTAACGGGGTATTGCATTGCGGGGTAAAAAATTACTCACAACTTTTTGACTAAACGACTGAACCGATTGAGAGAATTGACTTCGACCATTGATTATTTGATTATATACTACTTCTACGAATTAATGAATTCCTAATTTCTCAAAACGCGTCTCCTTTGGCCACGAATGTACCTTCTTAAACGAATTGGTGGACAAACACAAGTGGGTACTAGTATAACGAAAGTTCATACTTGTTTCGAAAAAATCGGGTCCAATTGCGGTTGATCAATGTTCATCGAGAGAAATGTAACCGGGTAAGTAATATCAGATCCTACTGGAGAAAATAATAAACACCCTACCACTTCGATCATTTCGATTTAGTGCATATTTATATAATATGGTTGTATATTTTTAATTTCGATCGCGCAAAAAATGTTATAAGCAGGGTTACCGTTCTCAGACAATAATTGGCTCATTACATTTTATGGTGAGATCTTGGATTTTCACTTAAGTAAACAAGAGCTTGAAAATGAAAATACAATCTCTTAAACAACAGTTTAGTATAAAACAACTCCTTGTGCTTGCAATATTGTTGCTGTGGGAAAATGTCTTCACAAGATGTTCCTCTTGTTGCATTTTACTTGCTACATTTTTCAAGGGCGGCCCGGGATGTTGCCGTAAGACACGACGCTTCCGCCCCGAGTAGGGCACTCCGTAAGCGTACCTACGCACAACAACTGGACTTTTTGGACAGCAGTTTCTTGTATTTTTTTAATCAAGTCGAACTAAGACCTGAAGTTTTTTACGCTTGTACTGTTGTCCAAGTCTAAGTTTGTACGAGAAGTTGCTTGAGTATCACTTAGCACGCTATCAGCCTTGAGAGGTTTGTACTTACGGTACTTACCATGTGAATCAGGAGATCTATATAGTACTTGAATGGAAAAATTTTGCACTACTTGTAGATCAGGCAAGTGAGATCACTTAAAATTGTTTTTCGTCGACCTCTCGATAACAATATAAATTACTCCTTAGTGACGAGTACAATGATGAAACTTATTAATCGTTAGCAACCACTTATACATAACAACCATTTTATTAAAGGGAAATGACAATTATGTAACAATTCACTTTCGGCAACAGCTGAGAACTTCCATCCACCTAACCATTTTAATCTCGGTTTTAACGTAGTGAGATCAGCAGCCAGTATGGTCGCCAAACGATCTCAGCAAAGCATATCCTGATGTATGTATGTGTAGCTCCTCGGATAAGGTACTGTTAAGGTATTCAGTTACTTTACCTTCAACATTGAGTACGTCGACCACAGGGATGAACATTTCCATATCTTTCACTGTTAATACACGTACTTTAGTACAGTTGCAAAAGAATTAATTACATTCTAATTTCACATACCTTTTCAAGGTAAAATGTCAACGTGACATTTTCGGAAATATCTCCTTACAAATTCATTGTATTCATCAATTGCCGAACTGATCGAAACCGTTCCAATAAGTTTCTTTTGATTTTAGTGGATATAATGTTAAAATCGCCTCCGCAGCAGAGCAAGCAACATAATCTTCCACTATGATTACGAGTACTGACGGTACAGCATAAAACAACACATTACTATAGCAACGACAATAGCTGTAATTTAGTGAACAATCGTACGAGCTCATAATTTCGTTTGTAATTTCTTGTAGTTGAAATTAAAATAACCTACCCCAGTGAAGTCGACGAAAAAACGTTGTATGCAATTCATGTATAAATCGGCGATTATTGGTTCGTTCGAATTCGAACATCTCACTCACCAATAAAACGCCTCATTTATACACTCATTGCATAAATAACTATTAAATTTCTCTTTCTTACATTTTATAAAATTTCGTTTTGAAAGAATTCTGATGGTTAGGCGAACAAAACGACTGCGTTTTTTTGAAAGATCAAATTATAAATTTGATCAAGGGCGTGGAGAAGTATCAAACGGAATTCGCTATTGGAATTAGGTGTACATTTTAACCAAAAATTGAATCTCCTGTTTTGGCAATAATGCTCGTAATTCCTTAAGTAATTTAGTAATTATTGCCTTTGATATTAAATACTGATGTAAAAGTTAGGTTCCAAGTGGGACTTAACATTTTTTCCAAAGGAACCAAAGATCCAAAATTCGCGGTTCTTCACTAATTTTTTTAAAAGCCATACTACTTAGAAAGATTGAATTAATATCTTTCCCTGGTTTTTGGTATGTTCCGTTTAAGGAAAGGATTTTTCAAAATACTTACCTCAAGATAGCGGTGCAAATAAACGTTCTCATCCCTACGAAGTTGTGTGTGTGTCTGTGAGATTTTTAATGAAAAATGGAGGACTCAAATACAGTTCGTAAAAAATCTAAAAAAACTACAATTCGTTTCCGGACAACAAAACACCCCATCTTTACTAACTTTTTTCGATATACGCAAGGAAGCATAAAAGGAACAACTTGAAAGCGACTTACAAGGAAATTAGGGGAAACTTAAGAGGGATAAAGGATAAAGCAAATTTGGTGAAAACTTTTTGAGAGCAACTTTAAGAGAGCTTACGGGAAAGTTGAGGGAAACATGAAGGAGGACTCGAGGAATTGGGGGGAAAGAATGAATTGACTGACAGAAATTTGAGAACCCGAAAACAACTTGAAAATAACTTGGACAACGCTTGAGGAGAATATAAACGGGATTTGAGAACTTGAGAAGCACTTTGTTTACAAGGAATTCACACACACTTACAAAAAGCATAAAAAGAAGGGAGAGAAAAAAGAACCCTAAGAGAAAAAAAGGAAAGAATTTTAACTTTTTAAAAGGAAATTCAGTGAAAGTTAAGTAGAACGTGAATGAACTTGAGCGAGGTTTGAGAGGAAATTGGGGGGAGGCTGTCTAGATTAAATAACGTTGAAAACTTAAAGAAGAATCGCAATGAAGCAACCCCCACCCCACTTTAATTTTGTTCCCTCCACCAATTATTGCTTAATGCATAATAATGAATAATTATATGAGAAGAGCAAAAGATGTTTGCCTCATTACAGTACTTTAGCAAAAAATTCAATTAATTCCTTTACCATGGTCAACAACACTTTGTTGCCTTGAAATGTTCGACCTTATCCTTACTCGACTTTGTACAATAGTTTTAGATAACGTCTAAGATAAATTTTTAGCTTATTGGCATAAAAAACGGATCTATCTTTACTTTTCTTTACCTTACTGAACGCAAGTTAAATGATAATGTTTAGTAATACATAGAAATAAAACACCTTTATAACATCATATTTTAAAAATGCGATAAATAACCATTGTTGTGACATGTAATTACTATATATTGGTTTATTTTATTTATTTATTTATTTATTCATGTTCATGTTACGGTGCAAAGCACTTACAATTGTCAAAAAAGGTTTACATGTAAAAGTGTATATAAAATATCAAGTTAGAAATAGAACAAACAAACAATAACACATTAACACTAACTTTATCTCATTCCATTTATTTACATATGCACGTTTACATGTGCGTGATGTTACATTACTCCCCAACGCCTGCACGATTTGATATTAACGTTTTAATTACTCAATGATATTACCAAGTTAAGTTACCAATTTGGTGAGTGGTACCTATAATTAATCCGGCTGCGTTGGTGATTAATTACTAGTCCCTAGTGATGCAAGATAGTGAAGCCTTATTTTCTCACCTGTGGTTTCTCCCTATTCAAGATAATTAAATTAGAATGGTTTGACAGGCGGGTACATTATGGTTATTTCAAAAATCGCCTCGGAAAATAAAAATGAGCTACTGTCTCATAATCTTAAAAATGGTTCAACTAGGAAATTTAATATTCAAATTACAAATTAAGCAAAAAAGGCAGGAATGCCGTGGGAAAAGCGCTGTTTTGTCATATTTCGGTGTGCATTTATATTTATGTTTAATTTTAGAAAGTCAAGCACCACTAGTTTACTCTTCGGGCAGATGACCATTCATGCAGGTGCTGCAGGAGAGTAGTAGTAGGCTTTTTAGTAATCTATCAGTGTGACAATAATAGTTATTAGCGGCAGAGCAAAGCGATGCAAGCTTTATAGGGGAGTCGATGGTGTCCGTCTGTCCGTGAACACGATAACTGTCAAACGATTGGACCGATTTAGTTCAAACTTTGCACAGTTGACCTATATGCCACGTAATAAGCCTATTGAAAATGGATCAAATCCAATGACCCCTTGGGGGCACGTCTCTCTGTTTCTGCCAAACGCTTGAACCTATTCAGTTCGAACTTTTCACAGTTGACCTATATGCCACATGTAACAAGTCTATGGGTCAAATCCAATGACTCCGTGAGGTCACACCGAGGTGCTCTGCCGCTTTTTTAAACGCTCTTTATGGGTTTATTTACATATGAGTATGGTAAATCAAGGTTTACGTTAACGAGTGAGATGTTTACTGCCGAACCGTAGCTTGTGGCATATAGGTCAACTGTGCAAAGTTTGAACCAAATCGGTCCAAGCGTTTGACAGTTATCGTGTTCACGGACAGACGGACAGACGAACACCCTCGACTCCCCTATAAAGCTTGCATCGCTTTGCTCTGCCGCTTAATAAGGCAAGATCACAATCCTACTCACTTCCTGGTTCCAGTAAGAAACAGCCTGCAAATTTCATAAAAGCACTTCGCAGTGATAGTTTCAAAGCCTCTCTTATATTCGTAGATTACTTATACCGTTCGTGGGCAAAAAAGACCTGTTGTGCTTTACTTGGAGGGAAAGTTGTGTTTGCCACATATGAAGATAAGTGCTATAAATTTGTGGCAAGGGAAGATGATGTGGTAAAAACTGAATTGTGCTACAGCCCCTAAGAGGCAGATTCTCGAATAATTTACCATCTTGGTAAACTACGAACAAGTAGCGAAGTAATTAATAGCGCTTCCGGTATGGATATTGCTGTTGTTGGTTTGGGAAATGTAAGTACAATTGACGCTACCATCAAGATATAGATTGAGGTAGGTCTCTTTTCCAATATCACACAGAAATTCATAAATCTTCGGGAGATTTTCGTGAAGATCGTCTACCAGGATATATTTTAAGTAGTGACAAAAAGAGGAATTTTTTATGTACAATTTTTATACGGTCCTCATGGTTTCGTTTAGGGGTGTTTTCCCCACCAGGGCTGCACTTGAAATCGTCTGCCATAGTATATTTGAAAATTATGAAAAAAATGGGATTTCTGGATATAAATATTTTCTGTGACCCTTATACGCGTATTTTAGTAATGTAGTTGATCACCTACAGAAGTCACTTATTCAGCGCCGCCCCAAGTTAATGCTTCCACTTACGACTGGTAGACGAGTGATTTTATTACTAGTTTTCAACGTACTTTCAGCCTGAATTGTCGAATATATTGTCGTTTATGGTTTAGTTACTATACAGGGTGATTCCTATAGTACCTGCCACCGTTTGGGAGCGTGTAGGTGGTGCGTAGGGGAGTATTTTGATATAGGACACTTGGGGTCGGAAATCTAAAATAAGGGTGCCAGAGCCAAATTTACCTTCTGGAATTTCGCGCCTGTAGGTAGGCAACCCAACCGGCCGGCGGTGCACACGGAGCGATCTCAGGCGGCGATGTGTGGCTGACACTTGATCAGAATTTTGTTTAAACCCACGAAATCCCGTCTGCAACGACGCGTATCAAGTGAATAAACACTATGGCAATAGTATAATAATAGTTGGCTAGATGTAGGAAGTGCATTGAGAACAACGGTGGCCACGTTGAACACTTGTAAACGTTATTGCTTTTGACTGTCGTTTTCCCTCCTTCCCTCCCATGTCGCTTCCTCGCGCTAACTCGCTCTGCATCGCTCCGCGCGAAACGTCGGTCGGTTGGGTTGCCTACATACAGGCGTGAAATTCCAGAAGATAAATTTGGTTCTGGCGCCCTTATTTTAGATTTCCGACCCCAAGTGTCCTATATCAAAATACTCCCCTAGGCACCCCCTATACGCTCCCAAACGGTGGCAGGTACTATAGGAATCACCCTGTATGTACGCTGCCTTCTGATCTATTACCTAAAAATACAGCAAATTATAATTTAGAGCACACCAAAAAAGTCGCTTGTCCCATTTTTTATGTGCACTTCCATGGACGTACTCTGATCATTGCTTTATTGGGAAGCCAAGGTTCACTTATGTCCCACCCTTTCTCACATACATAACCTGCACAGAAATTTTTTATTGACTGCTTGCTTGTTCCAAATGCAGCATTATCTTTAAATTGATTGTCAGTTAGTTTACTGTAACAATACGTTATGGCTTTAACGAACTTTAGTGAGTAAATTAGGTAACAATGAAAAAATGTCAACAAGGGTTAAGAATTAAATTGAATTGAACGTTAACAAACCTTTGTGAAATTATCGTTTAATTTATTTTAGGTGTCAAGTGTACAAGTGCTGAATTCCTTCATCGAGAGAATAAAGGAAATCAATCCGTTACTGAATTGCGTTGTCGCCAATCGATTTGAGGAGGCCCTAAAGGAGGCGCAGGCAGCCGACGAGCTGATAAGGAGTGGAACGATATCAGAAAATGACCTTGCCCTAAATAAACCATTTTTGGGGGTGCCGTTTACCACCAAAGATTGCATTGCTGTAAAAGGTAACAGTTTCAATTTTTTTTACTGAATTTTTCGTGTTTCTGGTGACAAACCAGCAGGTATCATTAGGTTCTACAGTAAGAAAACATGTAAAAAAATTCACAGATTTCGCAATCCTTGCAACCATCAGAGACATTGGAAATGTGAACCGTATAACTTATAAAGTCATAAATAACCCTTCACACGGAATAATGTTTAGACATATATTATATTGAAATCGGAGGTCGGACTAGAAATTTGACCGAAATTTGCTAGAAATTTTTTAGCAATATTCCTAGAAAGTTATTTGGGCAGGTTTCTCCGCAATCTTTCCAAAAAATCTTGCGAATCTTAGAGAGAATCTTTGTAGAAATTTTAAGAAATGTTAATATAAATCTTAGAAGTGATTGAATGAATTTTATTAGAAGGAATTTGCCAACCTTAGACACCTTCTCGATTTTTAACGGACGGACAAAACGCAAACAATAGCACATTTTTTTTTAATTCTTAAAAAATGCACTTAAACATTTTTTCGAGATCTACTCGGTATAATCCTCAAGAATTGTTAGGATTTTTTAGAAATCTCTTCATCCAAGATACACAGGCACAGCCAGGGGAACAGCCATCCTGGCCGTCCCCTACTTTTCCGGTTCACAAATCAAGCAAATCTCTCTCAAAACGCAACGTTCCTATGGTAACTTGTTAAACAGCGATTTTTTGAAAGAACGCGTTCTCTAACTCCATACATATTAAGTGTTTCAGTTTCGGAAGTACTAAAAATATCGTACGAGTATATACCTTGCGACTGAAGTAGTGGTCTTAATCCCTCAGGTAAATTATGGCCCTCCCTACGATCGGGCCATAAACTTTACCTTCGGGATTAAAAGTACTACTTCAGTCCCGCGGTATATAATATACTATTAGAAATTAAAAGAAAATAGGGTAAAATCGATCGGTTGTGTAATATCGACTGCCATGCATGGCACAATATAGGATCAGGATGTTTTTATGTACTGATCTGCGGTAACACTAACTGGGAGGAATTTCGACCTTCCATGTAACACAATAAGTTTGGAACAAAATAAAATATGCGATGGGAAATATCGAATAGTCGATTTCCCCCAGAATAGCCCACGTACCCATAAAATTATTCGTTCAAAGTCAGAAACCATTGGTGGGGTAGAGATCTTACCCCTTAGGTATTTGAAACAGCTAGTGAATTTATTTGGACACACTCCTAGATTTCAAATTATTTACAAATGTCTTTAGAAACCTGTTTGGAATTTCTTGAACATCTTACAGAAATAAAAAATAAAAAAATGTTAGGAATTTATTTCTAATCTGTTTAGGAATCTTCTTACGAGTGTTTTAAAAATGCTCTTATAGGAATCTTGTGCGAGTCTGCTTGGAAACATTTTTAATAATTTTATCGAAAGCTATTTGCAAGTCATAGAAAGCCCTTTAGGAGCTTTTAGTTAGTCGACTTTTAATAATTGTTAGGGGTTCTCAAAGACCGTTTAGATTTCTTCGCGTCTTCCGCTTATACCGTAACTGGAAAATGTTTTGAGGGTCAACAATTTTCCATAGCTATTTCTTTAGTAATCTTTTTTTGAAATATTTTTGGGCGTTTTGAGCACGGTTTATTACAGTTTTGCATTGTTTGAAAAAGTCAATTGGTAAAATTGAGCATGTTTTACAAACAAGGCGATTTGTTTTCCCTCAGAAGTTATACTCGATCGCATGATAATCACAAATCGATTTATAATGCAAAAATTACTGCCGGAGCCGATTAATTTATTTGTCGATAAAAGGCAATACTTTCACTAGATAAACATTTCGCAATCTCGCAAAAATGCAACAGAGAAATTCTGCTACGTACAATCAATAAAATTTGAACTCTCATTTTTTTAGATGATAAATTCCTCAACTTTTATCTGAATTCCGTCCGATTTTGTGGTATTTCTACATATTATGTATGTAATATCTTTGTATAATTTTTTGTCAACTAGCCTTGATATTAAAATAAAATGCATCTATTTTTATCTCTGACGAAGTAAACAGCTTCTTTGTTGTAGTTTAAGTAAAACATGAATTATTTTATGTCTCTATGTTGTGTATGTACCAGCATACAGTGACTCTAAAATAATTTCAGGAATGATTCACACATCGGGGCTTTACTGTAGACAAAAGATAATCGCCGCAGAAGACGCCGATGTGATTATGAGACTGCGTAATGTTGGTGCTATTCCTTTGGCTCTCACGAACGTTTCGGAATTATGCATGTGGTTAGTAATCTCTATTTAAACCAAGAGCTTGCCGAGCTTGGTATGGAAATGTTGCAGGTGGGAATCCGCAAATGTTCTCCATGGGCGCACGTGCAATCCGTACGATACAAATCGGATTGTGGGCGGATCTTCCGGTGGGGAAGGATGCATACAGGCGGCAGTTGGGTCAACTTTTGGAATTGGGTCCGATATCGGTGGTTCCATAAGGATGCCCGCATTTTTCAACGGTATATTTGGTCATAAACCATCAGAGGGAATTATATCGCAAAAGGGGCAGTACCCAACTCCTGTTTCCCAAATACAACAAAGAATGCTTGGTATTGGTCCCATGTGCCGTCGTGCCAAGGATATACTTCCTATCTTTAAAGTAATCGTCGACAAGTCTGCGGTTGATAAATTGAGGCTTGATGATAAAACCGAAATCACGAACATCAAGATCTATTATCAAGACTGCGACCTGAACTGTACAATGGTGTCCCACATCAACCCAGATATAAGGCATCTCTTTACCAAAATAAACACACATTTTTGCAAAGCACATAAGATTGTACCTCAAAAAGTCGCAATAAGCCGTTTCCGAAACAGTGTAGGGATGTGGATGGCTGGCATGACACCGGACGACGGGCCGCGATTCGGTGAACAATTAACCAATCTCAATGGCAGCATAAACGTATCGCTTGAATTGCTCAAGTGTCTATTTAGGGTTTCCAAGCATACGTTTATTGCGATAGTAACGACAATTTTAGATCGATTTTCTCCAAAACCGGGCGACTCAAAACATATGTACATGGTGAAAGAAACTAAGATTCTGCAGCGCGAACTTTCCGAATTAATGGGTGATGATGGAGTTTTGATACTTCCAACGCATCCAACATCGGCGCCTTATCACAACGAGCCCATTATTAAACCGTTAAATTTTATATATACCGGCATTGTGAATGTTTTAGAGTTCCCTGCAACTCACTGTCCATTAGGCTTAGATTCTCACGGGCTTCCAATTGGAGTTCAAGTTGTTGCGAACAATTACAATGATAGGTTGTGTTTTGCTGTTGCAGAAGAGCTTGAACGAGCTTTCGGAGGGTGGGTTCCTCCTACAGTAGACGTATAGTAAGTATACATACTGACGTTATACGTATTAAACATCTGTGATGTGTCTACAATTTTGCAAGCAGTAATGAACATTAAAGTAATGTAGTTATCTCAGGTGATAAATGCGTTTAGTGTGACTACAACGACGGTCTGCATTGGTAGCTTATCATTGCAACATGTTATTCTTTGGGTATTAATTCAATTTATGGATGAATTTTATAGATATTGTGAACGTTAATATAAAACAATCTGTAACAAACACCAAAAACTACAAATTCGAAGAGAGCATTTCCTACACTTAAGGTGTGTTTTGACCCTTGTTGTTTGTTACAGATTGTTTGCTGTTTTGGCCTCATCACTAAATACAGGTAACTGACGATGAAATTCATGGAAACATGGGACCAGCCCAAGGGTCTAGGACACTTCGCCGAAACGATTTTTTGATGGTCCATATCGCCGACCGTGCCCACATCGTCGACAAGTGCGTAAGCGACACAACGCCGACCATGCCCACTTCGCCGACCGTGCCCACATCGCCCAAACGTGTGCAAAGGGACATTAAGCCGAACGTGACCACAACGTCGACTATTCGAAATATCAGGCCCCTCATACTCACTTGAATTTTTGTATGAGTTTGCATTTTAAAAAATGCCCTAAACCTACAAACATCCTAATATCCAAAGCTGCTTTGTTTCACACTCCGTCCAGTTTCATTAAGATTTTTCGTATAAGTTTGTAGTTCGAAAAAAGTTAAAAAAATATTCTAAACCTACAATAACCTAACGTCAAAACTTGCTTGGTGTTGCACACCGTCGCGCTTCATTAAGAACTGTTGTAGAGTCGACGTTATGGTCACGTTCGGCTTAGTGTCCCTTGTACACTTTTCAGCGATATGGGCACGGTCGGCGAAGTGGGCATGGTCGGCGTTGTGTCCCTTGCAGACTTGTCGACGAAGTGGCGGTCGGCGTAGTATCCGTCGGCGTAGTGTCCCTAATCGGCGATTGGAACATCAAAAAATCGTGTCGGCGTTGTGGGCATTCGGCGAAGTGTCCCGGGCCCCCAGCCCAACTTTTCCTGCCTAATTATTCCCTATATTTTTGTAATTTATTTAATCGAGGTGGGCTAAACGGATAGGTATTTCAAATGGGACTCGCCTTACTTAAATACGCAACTAGGTACTATAGTGTCCTTATTTGTAATGCATGATGATTAGTTGGTATATCGTGAAACGTCCATCCATTTTTTACCAGGAGAACAAAATGTAGACCTACGCAGCATATGAAACCTGTTGGGATATTTTTTTTTAAACTTACAATGAGCCTTTTTTCAGTCCGACAGGTATAAAATGTTCAAAAGCATTTTAGTGGTATACCGGGGAACAATTTTAACTAGGGTTGTACCCTAACAGTTTTAATAAAAAATCTCTTATGATATATTTTTGCAACCATTTATTCATTTTACTTGTCAATATCAAATACTCAAATGATCTTTTGTGGGACGAATTTTCATCACTTTACGAAACAAATTTGAGCCAAATGAATGTTTTCAATTTAATACAAATCATTCGACGAGTGACAGGCTTCAGTGGTTATGTTATTTTCCATTCTCACCCAAATCTTCAGCTGCTTGCCAAATAGACTATAAATAATAATAATAATAATTAAAAACGGGCCGGTGCATTTACAACAGATACCAAACGCTTAAACCAAAATGTGCCTGCTTTATATTTAAATATTTTCTATTTATTATATATTTATACTTGTATGTTGTATATTTAGGCAGTATATTTTATGTAATTGTTAAATAATATGTACTAATTTGTATGGAGAATATTTTGGTGTAAAATTTTAATTCTAAAGCCACTTTGAAATCAAAAAAATTGTCAATAAAATTTTAAAAGTGTGTTTACCTTTCTTTATTAAAACTCGAATTCACCTCGCACACAAAAAATGTCCTCGTTGTTTCAGAACCCGTGAGATTGGAGTACCAATAATGAAGTACCCAATTCCTGAATGTTGTGCCTTCATGTTATTCAAATTTTTAGAAAGGGACCCAACATTCATGATTCAAGCGTGTAAGCGTTGTATTCTCAAATTAAAAATCTGTTTGAACCTCAATTTTGTGTTTGTGTTTTGTTGTATTTAACTTCACGAGTATATTAGTCCAGTAACTATATACATCAGACCATGCGTCAAATCCGGTAGTTCTGATTTTTTGTGGGATTGCTTATGTTGTTAACCCAATGTATAATTCAAGTTTTCGACGGCGAACGCAACATAGTCAAATATACTAAAAACCGAGGAATTTTCGTTTTCTTTTCAGATTTTGACGATTTTAACCCTGAAAGACCAGTTTGTCGAAAATAACTACTGAATACGCTTTGAAAGTAGACTAAATTGTTTACAATTTGAGGCTACAACCGTTCCTATAGACGTAATAGTTTACGAGATAATGCTTTTCAAAGTTTATCGATTTTTTCAAAGTCGAAAATTGTTAGCACTATTTTGTTGTTCTGTAATTCTATAAAAGAAAACGAGAGGTGTAAATGATATTCTTAATTAAACTTCAAAACAGTCATTTTATAAAAAGAAATTTTGTTCCCTTCTTGTCGGATCAATATTTGCATAGGAATTATTTGGAAAAGTAACTTTTGTAGATTGAAAAAGGTAGTCGCTAAAAGTATGTTCATTTGCAGATATCTCTTGAGGTTCAGTATTTTTCTGAAAGAATAGGTATATAATTCTCCACGCAGCTTTGACTGTACTGTATTTTTGCACTATTAAACACACTTAAGTCAACTAAAAGTTTTATATTAAACACAGATACATTTTAGAGCAACGAAAATGCAATATTTCCTATCGAGAAATAAAAACTTTCAAAGTTTCCCAAAAATGTCATCACATCTGCGTTCATTTTTGCAGAATATTCGGATAAGATAAGCTTCAGTATTCCCTTCACAGTTCCCTTGAACATATTTCATACAGAATAACTTGCCGTTGGAGAAATGGAAGATCGCGCTATCAAAACAATTTCTCAAGCGAACGCTAGTACCGTTGAGTGAATACTCAATGCTAGTACGTAACTTATTTAATAACAATTATGAAAATTAAAGAATCGTCGAGTGAAGTTTGGTAAAAACTCAGTAGGTACTACATTTAAATATTTGATGTAATGATGGTTTCTGAATAACCCGATTTCCAAGGATTGCTATAAACACTGAGAGATTCCTCTCGCCAAAAGACTACGAGCGGGTCAAAATTCAGGTTAAGCAGGAGATTTTTCGTCGCGATTGCAGATAGTTCAATTTGCCGCATGCAGAAACCACAGAATATCTATACTAGAAGCTTTCCATAAAAATGATATTAAATACATTTATAGACAAAAATGTGTGTTGGTGCTTTCTTTGTCTAAGGCCCGACGCACATTGAGACGCGCGCGACACACGCAACGCAAGCCACGGCAAAACACGCGGAATTAATGAGCAAATACATATTGACACAATGTAGATACGACTCATATCTGACGCCTCACAGTGTCTGAGACACAGATTTGTTTAGTAATTTCAACAATACACAGATCGTGTGTAGCCGTGGGTTAGGGTGGGTGCGTGCGTCGCGTGTGTCTCAATGTGCGCACCCCCTTATTATCAGTATGGCCAGACGTGTCAGATGCATATACAAAGTATCGATATAATAGCACTATATTTATTATTTATTAAACTCTAAAACGTAGACACGATAACAAAGAATAGCATTACTTAGTACAAACACGAGCCTTTTTGATAGGTATTACAGTAACTTGATTAACAACGATTACTAAAGCTAAACAAAATCGGTAAAAACTTAAACTTCTCCAAATTCTTCTTGAAATCTCCCTAGAAAATTAGGCAGTTCGTTAAAATCGTCTTCTTTGTTCCTTGTTCTTGGACTTCTAGACGTCACACGTACATCTGGTGGAATATTATAACATTTACAAAGGCAGCAAGACGGAAAACGAAACCAATCTGAAAATATTCCCCTACACTCATTATGTGGATCATACGCCAGTAATCGATGTAACCGATACTGCTGCTCACACCTACACCCATCCCTGCAGTACATTTGCCTGTGCTCGAATGTACACTTTTCCCAATGAACGTATTGTTCGAAGGGATATAAGTTTAGCAGTGCCAGAACTTCTCCCCTGGTATTATTCGCCCAAAACGGCGCTACCACCTCTTCTTTCACGGGACAGGCATTTCTAAACACAAAACTAGGGCACACATTCAAAAGGATAAAATACTTACACTCCCTTCAGGTTGAAATTAATCTGGTTGTTTGTCTTTTTTGGGGGTTCCTCCATATCCTGAAAGAGCACTTCTCCCACCGTTTCCTTTTTTTGTACTCCTTCCGTAAATATCTCGGTGAATTTTTCTGTCGGAGTCGAGTACTCCACGGTGGATCCTCCATCGGTGGTTATGGTTTCTGTTGTTGTGTCTGAAGAAGGGTTTGTGGTTGGCACTGTGGTGTTGGTCAGGGTGGTATTCTCGCGAGCAATTTCTATCTCAATTTTTTGAGTTGTTAATGGTCGAAAGTATGGTAGATTCACCTTAGATTTAAACACAATCGGGTCTTCGGAGTAAATAAATTTGGTGTTTAAGACATCGTCCACCTTTGGGTCGTTGTGTAGGTGACGAGGTGACGTTTCGTCCTTTTCATCATTACGGTACAGCTCGTTTCTGTTCAGCTCCTCGTTTACATCCCTGTAATGTGGATGGCTGTAAAAATCCGCAAACTCGTTACTACCTAGTTCTTCTTGTAGGACGGCGATGTGGCGTTGATCTCCGTACATTCTCTTCATTAAACCTTGATTTTCTTTTACAAAGCGTTTGACAGCCTGCCATGGATACGATTTTCCTGCGCTTGTGCAATAGGTCTCCTGCGTCAAATCGCAGGGAGGTCTATAATGACGACTTTCACGTAACGGCTTTCCGCAGGCTGCTTGATCAAAACCAGCATCGAATCCGTAACATAAACATTTCGTTGTGTACATCTGAAAAAGGAAAATGATTTTAGCAATGCAAGATTATTCAAAAAAGGGGTGAGGTATAAGGAAAAAAGTACCCAAACTTTATTTGCAATGCTGTAACTCTAAACGGATAATGACGGAAATTATTCTAGAACTTTCTGTGCGTAAGTCACTCTGAATAGTTGGCGATTACCCATTAAACACAATTGACATCGTGGATGATTTTGGGGTCGTCGAGAAGCAGTCAGACTAAACAATCTTCGACTAGGTAAACGAATATCCCAGATATCGAAGCGCCGGCAGGCCCCATCAAATCGATAAAATATAAGGCGATAAGGAATGAAAAGCAGATGCGACGCATTCTTGAAATATGATACGCCTCCTAGACTCTTCAAGAACATTCCGTGAGTTTTTCCAGAAACTTCCAACATCGATTGCGGAGTGATTATTAGAAAGTTCGCGCTTATATTTGATAAATTTATATGTTATAAATGTGTGTGTGCAATAATGTTATAATTGTAAATAAATAAATCACGTAATTAAATTTGCATTACAATAACATAAAAAATAGGATTCTTTTGTTAAAATTACACTTCAAAAACTTGCTTCTTACGAGCATTTTATTTTTTTTTGCTCTGGGAAACGTAAATCTTGGAGACGTTTTCAGGAACCCTTATTAAAGTACTTTTTTCGTAGAAATCTTGTTGAAAATCTTAAAGTGCGTTACTACAAACGTCGATTGAACTTTCTACCTTATATGAAAACTTCTTAGAGTCCTTTTTAAAAGATTTCCAAAAATCTTGAAACAAAAAACTACCTGGGTGTCTGAACGCAATCTTTAGAAACCTTCTATAGACGTATTTCAGTCGTTTTGAAACTGATTTTTATTTCAGTAGGTAATTATGTTTTACGCAAAGTTGATCATCAGTCAATGATTAAAATATAATGTAGTCGTCTGTACGAGTATTCCCATAGAAGCCTGGAAAAGCGCTAAAGTTATTCCCCTGTTAAAGAGTACACCGTCCTATAAGCACACTGCCATTGTTGGCCATGGTCAGGTGAAGTCACATATCTAACCTCTTTTGATATACCTATTACCAGTAACACAATCTGGATTTCGAAAAGGATAAAATTGTGTCACTTCACTGTTACGGGCAACGTTTTTAGAGCCTTGGACCGATAAATTATGATCTCTGATTTTGCTTCACTTCCCTAAGGTCTTTGATAACCTTAATAATCAAATACTAATTAACCAGGAATCATATCGAGTCATTTTATCTGTAGGTGGTCTTCCGAGGTCCATGTTGAGTCCTCTGCTATTCATAATTTACACTTGTAATATTAAACAAATAATATATTTTTCGAACACCCGACGTCGGGATTTATATATAGCCCAACGTTCCACCACTGAACCATAAAGCCATATTTTGCTTTTTGTAAAAAAAAATCATTAAACAATTAGCCATAGGTTCCAGAGGGGACAAGCTCTAGGTGGTGAGGCCACTCCTTGGTTACGAACATACCCATCAAATTGGTTTTTCTTATGGTCTATACTCTATGGAATATCCATTAAAAACGAACCCTTTGATCGAATTTTTCTTAATTTTCAAAAGATGTGCTCTGTTCTCGTAATTTAATATTCGTCAGCCCTTTTTTAATATACATAATACGGCGTGACAGTGCTCAATATTTAAAAAAAAGTTTATCATTTTAAATTATAAACTGTTAAATAGAAAGTTATTCACGGTGCTCTCAGCCTATTTGTTACACATTCAATCTAATTTAGTAACGAAGAAAGTTTATTATAATTACAATTCAATTACCTCATTCGATATTATTTTCGTTTTGGTGAACTAAATATAGATTGGGTATTAGGAAGAAAGTAAGTAGACCTTGACAATTGTATTTACTGTAATTCGATTCGATGATTTCTCCAAAAATATTTTCGAATTGTAGTGGATGAGCCAGGCAGGCTCTACGGTCTTTTAAATCGATATCGTTAATTGTTGGCACGTAGTAAGTAGCCAGCGCCTATACAAATATCCTTGGCCTTGTATGTAAATGTAAATAACTTATGTGTGTCAGTGGGATGTGCATGTGCACCTTACTATTGCTTTCACGGTTTAATTCGAATTTAATTGTTGCTTATTAATTACCGATACAATATCGCCTAAAAAAATATTGCTTCTTGTTAAAATCAAAAAGGGCCAACCGAAAAATTACAATAGTACCTATGACAGGTTAAGAAAATGCCCCAGGATGGAAGCGAGACCGGTTCCAATATTTGTAATTATTTATTTAACACCTGGACTTTAGATGAATGAAAAAGTGCGATGCTATTAATGAAAGAAATCTTAAAACCTACCGACCCAGACTGATGCAGACTCTTTAGCTTAATCCAACGGTACCGCAGTGAAGTTCCCACATATTAAATAAGTCGGCGAATCCTCCTAATTTTTTAACATTTTTAATTTGTTCATCTATTGTGCGATCAAAATCAGCATGTATATAAATAGTTGCAAATTGTAATCACGCACGTTGCGCGGAAATTATTCAAATCGCGCTGGCTGTGAAAAGTAAAGGCACCGTTATTGTTCTTTTTAATTCATACCTACACATTTAAAAAAAAAACCAATAAAATAAAGGGTCTTATGCGCGCGTTTTATATTGTAAATTTGCCATTTTTCACCGGCGATTAACACATCAGTCTCTCTTAACGGTAGTTCTCTATTTAGTAATAATAACAACGACTAGACAATTATTAGACTAGAATGGATGATATCAACGCTTCAAAACCTTACCTCTTTAGTCAATTAGACTTTTGTTACGGAACAAACATTCAGTAAGGATTTTCTCAGAGGCAGATTAAATGGACATTTGGGATTAAGTTGGACTTACCCTCCGCTTTAGATTTAGGTAGGTACATCTAATAAAATCGTTATTATTATTATTATCTTTTGTGACCGATTTATAGTTGGTGTTTGTACACATCGAACGCCAAGTTCTTCTGTGTAGTACCATTGAATAAATAGTGTTTTTATTCAATGGTAGTACCTAATTACTACTCTGTATTGAGAAACGTTCTTACAATATGGCAAGTGTCCAGAATGACAGATTTTTGAATATATGATGTCAGATTTTTTATTGGCAAGTTTTCCATTTGTTTTATTAAAGATTTTGTTATAATACCAGTAGCAGATATTACTAATGGACAATGGTCTTATATTAACTTTCTTTAAATTCCAAATTTCTTTTATTTCTATGGATAATTCGGTGTAGGTATTTATTTACTTTTGTTGCATATGTTGTTTGTAAGTGGAACTGCTATACATCAATTATGTCTACCTCTTTAGTTGTTTTGTTATATGTGACAATACAGGTCGGTTAACTTGAATTCTTATATCTGTACTTATTTCTCTGTCCCAGTATAGCTTATGGTTGATATTTTCCAAAACATTTGTTGGTTCATACTTATAATAGGGTAGATTAGTTTTTAAAAGTTTTAGTTGTTTTGCTATATTCAGGTGTATAATTTTTGCTACATTATTATGGCGTTGAGTATAGTCAATTTGTGCAAGGGTAGTACAACCTCTTATTATATGTTCAATTGTCTCTTTGCCTGTTCCGCATCTTCGGCATCTGTCATCTACTTATACATTTTGATGTTTGAGGATATATCTGCAATATTTTTTTGTGTTCATAACTCTATCTGTATCGCCATCATGAAGCCATAGAGTGATCCATCTTTGAGCCAGCCGTTTGAGGCATTTTTGTTTACTTATTCTTGGTTGAGATAGATTGGGTGGGCACCATGAAGTTTTTTTTTGCCTCCATACTAGTAATTCTGCTTCAACTGGTTGAATCTCTGCTTATATTACTCTGTTTTCAGTACATAAATTTAGCGGTGTTATTTCATCATCATATTTGCAAATTGGTTTAAACATATTATTTTCGTTGCCTTTTTTGTAAAAGTATTCTCTTAAGTTGTTTATTTGAGTTTCGCATAGCTTACGCAAATTTATTATTTCTAATCCTCCTTGTGATGGCGGTAAGGTGATTCGTTCTATTGCAGATTTTGGATGGTGTCGGTGTTTGGTCATAGTTGTTCTAATTTTTCTTTCTGTTTCTTCTAGGTCTGTAGGTGTACATTTAATAAGTCCATGGGAGCAGGTACGTGAGAATCGGTATTGCATATTCATTAATTGCCCTGATCTTGGAAGTTCCATGGAGAAAAGTTTTTAAAATTAAGTTGAGTCTTGTTTGAAATTCTTGCTGGAGCTTTTGTTTTATTGACATGTGATTGATATCTCTTAATTGACTAATTCACAGGTATTTATAACTTTCACCTATCTGATTATTGTTAATTTGATATCCTTCTTCTTCTTTTAGCATTCCTCTTTGTAGATGTATAACTTTGCATTTATCGATACCAAAGTCCACGGTTTATGGTTATTGATTGACTGAAGTCTACTGTCAGATCTAGATAATATTCTGTTAATTTGGGTCTTGGATTTCGCATATACCTAGTTTTAGATCGTCCATATAAAGTATATGATAATGACTGCTTTTTGTAAATATTTGTATCTGTTTTTATCTAATCCTAAAAGTTGTAAATTGTGGTGTATTGTCTTTGGAATAACTTATATGGTCCGTAAAAAAGTACATACTGTATTGAGTAACATTTGTTATTACGAATACAACGATTTACGGCACACACAAACAAAAAAAGAAGTTGGAAACTATTGATTTGGCTAACCTATAACAAGGCACAACTCGATCATAATTCATGCAATCAGTAAAAAATCGTTTTCTTTGATACTTTCTATGAAAAACTTTCGGTGGCGAATAATTGGAAAAGTATTAACCTAGGTATTAACTTTATAAAAACAAGTATAAATTGTGCACAACTCTTGTGGAGATAAAGCGCATTTTCTTAACCGAAATAGCTTTTGTTTTGACATCACCAATGAATATATTTCTTGCAGACGTCTCAATCGCTCTTTGTGAGTACCCTATTCCGACAATCCGTTCTTGAGATATAATAAGGGAATATATCCGATCACGATAAAGAGGTCGAGGAGGAGGGCTATGGTTGGTAGAAATTAATTCCTTTTATTGAGACCTTTCATTAGAGTACCATGAAGGATAAAACTAGTTCCACCCCTTCCCCCATCCCCCTCCACCCGCACTTTGATAAGAGGACAGAAAAAAGGGCAGTAGTTGGTAGAAAACGGTTTTACTTTCAAAAACAGCATCTCAGCAAATAATTCGTGGGAAGGCCCCCTTTTAGACAGCAAAATTTGATGGCCGTCTGGCACACCTTCAAGATATAGGCTACCTACTGCAAAAAATTCCAGGACCCTAGGACCATTCCCCTAAAAGTACCTAGTTAGAAACGGCAGAAGTGGGTCCGGACGGACAAAACGCAAACAATACCCATTTTTTTTAATTCTTAAAAAATGCGCTAAAAATATGTAGAACACTCTGCGTAGGATTAATTTTCCTATCTATTCCTATGGTTAAATTAGAGTAAAGACCCCCGAGATGGGGTGGCAACCACCCCCAGAGCAAAGGCGCCCTTTGGCATGATATAGATTGTGATCCTTTTAATACAAAAGAACAAAATCAGAAATGTCGTACCACAGATAAACGAAGCTCCGTTTATCTGTGGTCGTACCAAAGAAGATAGGTAAAGCTGCAAGATCCAGCCTCCTGCACGGTCGTTGGCAAAAAAATTAAAACTTCAAAGGAACTTATTTTTTTATTTATTCCTAAAACAACCCAACATGCTTGTCTTGTTTCATTGTTACACCTTATGTACAGGATTTTCTGCGATCATACTACTAAACCAAAAGGTTTTCACATTATTTGAATATCTAAATAAATTTCAAACAAAACAGATCCTTTATTTTCAGGCCTATGCTTAAAACCTATGATTACTAAACAACATTTTTCTACAATCGATATCCAAAGTAGGCATTTGCGCTCGTATTTGACAACGCAAACGTCATGTTTTTCGAGGAATGTCACTTTGTCGCTTATAAGCGACAAAATACTTAGAAAAAACGCTCGCTCTCCCAATTATTAACTATAAATCAAATATGCATTTCTCAGTGTATCCAATGACAACGAGTAAATGACATCTTTCATTTGGGCATAAGATTAAAATAATCTATGATTGAGTGAAAAATTTAAATTTTTGGAAATAAGTAGGTATGTGACCTGCTACTTTGTAGAAAAAATCTTGTGTGTAATTCGAGCGCAAATTGATTGTCGATTTCAAGAGATTGCCGCGCTCCTTCGTCGCGCGTCAACTGTCTCTTTCAATCGACTATATATCATTTTGCGCTCTTAATACACAAATAGCTATTTTTCAACAAACGTATACGATGAGCTCAGGCTCAGGCATTCATGTAAAATTGGCAGCTTTTAAAAATACGATAAAGAATTTTTTTATAGAACCCCTTTTGGCTTTTTAACACTAGATTCTGCACTGAAAAATAATAGAAACTTTAATTAATTAAATGTGTATCATGAACGGTTTTGGCAGAACATGAAACAAAACGGAAATTGTGCAGCAATTCTCTATTTTACATTATAAGTTATCAAAGCATTAGAAACAAATGCTATTGTGTAAAAAACAATAAATTTGACATTTGAGGATTATCAAAATTTAAAAAAAACTTACCTTTTGGTCATGCTTTAACGATAAATTTGGGTTTTTTTTCTTCGGCAATATAGCATTTATTTCTTCATGGTTCTGTTTATCCAAAACCAATTAATAAGTAAAAATGTTCCTTAAAATTTTCGTTTCGTTCCTCTTTCTACAGAAACTGTTTATAGGGATGTAATTACAAGCTTAACTTATTTTTCAGTGTAGAGTCCATGGATGAACAAAAAGCAGCATTTAATATGAACTTCACTGTATAAAAATTTTGTAGACAGTGATAGGTAAGGTAGACAGGGTGCTCCATGAGGAACGGCGGTTACCTATATTTCGAAAAACGTACCTCAGAATATTTTCAAAAAATTGGCAGCATGCTAATGTCGATAAGAGAAATTTATCTAAAATATTTTCAACTTGGTGACACTTCCAATACTGGAATTTAATGCTTATGTTTAATGAAACACTGTATAATATATAATTTTTAGATTCTACGTAAAATTCTATTATATGTATAGTACTTTGTCTAGGTTTTTGAGCAACTATTCCCAAATATTTTCAAAAAATTCTATACCACAATTTTAGCAATTCTTACAAAATACGAAAAAACCTACACAAAAAATTATGTAAAGTTGTTAGTATACCTATTACTTATTCGTCTCAATTCGTGACTCGTGTAATAACGAGCGATCAATAATGAGTTGCTGTCGAGTCGCCTTTGGAGTTCAAGTTAAGTACGATTTCCCATGTATAAACAAAAATTCCAAAGGTGACCCGACAGCAACTCATTTTTGATCGCATGTAGTTGCTAAGAGCAAAATTAAAGAAGAAACAAACATTTTGGAACTAGTGGGGGCGTACCTATCAGAGTTTATTTAAAAATGTTTGTTTTGGCAAGGTGAGAATTTGCATTTATCCGCAAGTACAAGTGATAGCTAAATGCTCTAGTAGAGGGTTTCAAGAAATGAAATATAAGACTTACCAGTACAAAAAGAAGTATCATTTTCTTCGCTTGGGCGAAAATAATTTAAACACCCAAATCACCGTTCAAAATCGGTTTGTTTAATAATAATCGCAAAGAGTAAGTTTATCATCATTTTTTTGTGCGAAAAATGTGAATAATATATCGCAGATATTACGCGTATAGATCCGGACGCGCTACAATCAAAAAGAATTGCCGTTCACTGCCGGTCTTCTAGCATGAAATAAACTGAATGATCTTCCTCTTTCATTACATGTAGTATAGTATGTGTTGACTGAGAAATGAGGTTTCTACCGTCAGTTGTTTAAGTACAAGAAAAAGTGTGCTTATGTAGGCTATACAAAGATGGGCGCGCAGCGCTATCGGTTGGTTGCAGAAGTCGCACGCGATATGTGTAAAAATCGTAATTGTTTTTAAAAACGACGTTACCCAAAATTGTCCTAAGTATCCACCTAATTTTGTTCACGCCTAAACTACCCAGTAACCTTAAGATACTTCGCGATGAGCAATTTAATGGATGTGTATTTAATACCTGTTGGGTAACTTTCTTTGCAAAATTGTATCAACATCGCCGAGCTATAAACATTATCCCGTTACCTAGTTAGTTGTCTTTATTAATATGCAAAGTTTGGCATCGCGCCTTCTTTTTTACCACTTACATGTCCAATTCGTATACATTTCCTTTCTAGTGGATGGCGTAGATATGATACCTTACGTTACAGGTGTGAAAACGCCTACAGTTCGGTTGAAATTGATTTTTGTTACTTTCTCTAGAACGATCTTACAATTATTTTCGTAAATTTCCAGAGATTTTATACCGGTACCTATCTAATTACCATATCACTTTCCTTCTTGCTCTACCAATACCAAGTAGAAAGGTGTAGGTAATGTTAAGGTCATTTACATACTTTCTTTTTAATGTTTCCATGAAATGATCCAAATATTTATGAATTACATGAAAAGGAACCATGGAGATCATTATTAATGAAGACTGAAAATATGGATTCCCATATGCACACTAATGACGTACCTAAGGGGTTCTGCCTGGGTGCCCCTTTGCTCTAGGTGCCAACCCTGAGAATGAAAGTTTCTCTTAAAGAACAAGGTGACTGATTTTGTATTTTCATGGTTAGATAGGTATACCTAAATATCTTTAAAGGGTGTTACATTTGAGTTTTGATTAAAAAACAATAGAATAAGATCGAATTCCTAAAAAATTCTGAAACTCAAAATCGCGAGAGTCGTATGTATGCGCAGTTATCAAACAAAGAACCAGGAATATTTTGTATACCCTCACCCGCGAAGTGTGACTCTTGTGTGCGCCGTTAGCGTTGCTTTAAACTACCTACTTAATCTAAGCTTTGAATATAATTTATATTCAAAGATCTAAGTCAATGAAAGCAACAGAAATGTTTTGTATGCCGCAAAAGTTACATCCTTCTCAATACGAATAAGAATAAATAATAAGAAAGAAAGAATCCCTAAATCCAAAATCACGAGGGGTGACGCTTGTGTGTGCAGTTGGAGAGTTGATATGGTAAAGTATTATAAACAAAACGAGTGGTACGGTCAACCAAAATGCATATAGGTGCAGTCCGATTCTTCCAACTCTCCTAGAACCTAGATATCAGAACAAAGAGAAGAATCCCCAACAGCCCCAATCTCATCGTGAGCTGGTCGACTGCAGTTGTTTAGGCGCCTTTTACGAAACGCAGTACTCTCTGCGGTGGAGGTATTCTTTCCCACCCCTACGCGTGTAAAACTAACGGGATCGCAAGAAGTACGATATTCGCATACCTCGCCCAGGAAAACTCAACGCAACGCAATATGGGGCTAAATTATTTACTAAATTTGACTTTTGAGACGAACACGTCTTTTCCATAGTAACAGTGCACCAATCACACCAAATTACAATTAATGATTTTGTTTTTCTTTACCATTGTTCTGCTGTTAAGTCCTACCATCAAGTGCCCACGGTTAAATATACCTAGTGGCGCCTACCGGCCTACCGCGGTACACCTTCTTTTGTTTCTCGATTAAATTTTGTGAGCTACGCCCAATACCTACGGCTGCTTTGACTGATTTACCGAGCCTTCGCATTTTATATTTGTGCCAACACCCTTTTTGGCATTGTAACAGCATGGCGTAGATGGTGAGATAAAACAAATCTATTCGGAGGAGATTGGAAGGTAGTGTAAATAAGCGAAGGTAAAATGTGTAGACTGTAGAGGACGTAGAGAAAGGTTTGTAGTAGACTTGAAAATGTAAAAAAAAGGCATAGTGAATGCGTGAAGAATTCGTGAAAGACACAAAAAAGCGTCAGAGAGGCGCGAAGAAGGTACGAATGAGACATTAAGAGGAAGAGAATAAAAGAAACGCCCAGAAGAAAAGAACGGTCACGGTGCGTAAAAAGTAGGTAGACGTGACGGAACCGCGTGCTCGACATGTTGGTGGATCACGTGTAGACTATATGTGGTTGAAACACACGTGACGAGAGGTGGCCGGAGAGGGTTAAAGGATATGTTAAAGTTAAACACTGGCCACTGGCGAGGAATATGCCTTGGCGACGCACAAAACACACACTTAGGAGACGTGAACAAAACGTGAAGCACACATGCGTGACGCGTGAGTAATAACGAGAACAAAGATTTGGAGTTTAGAAACCATAACGGTGACGTGAAGAAGACGTATAGATACGTGATGGAGCGATCAGGCAGTTGGAGATGTGAAGGGAGCCCTAAGGTTACGTGATGAATTCGTGAAGGAGGAAGTTTGAAGCACCAAGCAGGCATGAAAGTGGGTGAAGGAGATAGATGGAAAACCCCACACGGAGGTGTGAAAGGGATGTGTAGGCGTGATGTAGATTCACAGCAGATGAGAGGTAGAAGACGCGTAAAGAAGAAAGAAAGCGTCATGCATGCGTGAAAAGTGTCATAGGAGCGTTAAAGCAAGCACAAAAGTGAAGCGTGAAAACGTGAACGCGTTAAAAAGATGGAGACAAAGCAGGATAGAGCGACATAGGCCTAGATATACTGATTTCTACGTGAAAAATGCGCGAAGAAAAGTAAGAGGCACGAAGGTGTAGAACGGATGTGCAGAATGCGTGATGAAAAAAAATGGCAAAGAAACCCTGAACGAGACAAAAGAATAGGTGCAAAAGAGATGTAAAAAAGAAGGCACAAGGGTTTGAAGCACGGAATGGTGAGTAGTAGTGAAGAAGTAAATTTGAAATTCCAAATCAACAATTTGAAGCTGGAATTTGAGATTGTTGGTGTAGAAGACCCATTTTATAAAAATTTATTCAAAACTAGATTCTTACGTCATTTATTAAAAATATTTAAGTAATGTTGAAATGCTTTTCCTAATATGAAGTGCAATTCCAAGTTCAAATACTAATTGCTCAAAATAGCAAGTGCTTTTTCATCCACTTTACATTATTAGCGATAACAATACTTTTAATATTAAATTAAATTAAGTGCAACAATTGGTTTATTCAGCCTTTCGTTAAATTTGAAATAAGATTCAACATATTGCGTCTTTTAGATTGTACAATCTCTTCCTTCAGGGCAGTACATCCGTCAATCTGTTGATTTCGACATGCAAAATCAGCGACGTTTTCAGCGTTACATAAGACGTGGATACCACAATCGTACCCATTCGACTGCTGCAAGCATAAGGGTTCTCGAAAACCGTATGAAGACACCCCAAAGTATCGCAACACCTTTGCACCAAACTCCATAGCTTGCTGACAGTTTGTGCCTTTCGAAGAATCAAAATGAAACACCATTCTCTCTGGACGGGAAACCACTAATAAACTCCAGTGCGAACCGCCAGAAACTTCAGTTTGTTCGTTATCGTTGAGTGCAAAAAATATAAATCTGCAACGATTTGACATTAACGGTTCCAGGAACACATTTACTTCCGCACTGGGAGATAGCTTAATACATTGGGTGACTTGCGGTTGAACAAATAGCAAAATGGGATCTTTTCTAAAGTGGTTAATCTCCAAATATTCAAAATAAAATGATATAATGCTGTCGTTTAGCCAGCTATGTCCACTAAGTAATTCAATGTCCGACAATCGCAGGAGACTATCATGGAAACTTAAAACGACAGGATTACTGCTTCTTCGTGACATTCTCCTCGTTCTATTTACTATTTTTTAAAACGGGTCTACACGAATATTGTTAATACATATGAAATTATTTTTGCATTGCAAATTTTGACAAATTTATGTTTACAAGCAACATAACCTCAACTCAGTTGTCAATGTTGCATAATGTGATCATATACATGGTACGTCGATATGGAAATCCGTTTTAGATTACAGATGCAAAAGGTGTCGTATAATAATTATAGCAATAAGATTTAGTTATTTAATTGTGGACAGTTAATTAAATAGTGGGATGGAAAGAAGGGCTGCGGATATTCCAGAGTCATAAGTCTACATGGTCAAAAGCATAGAAACGGCAATGGAGACAGGCTTATAACTTCTGTGTGTAAAAGAGCGAAAAAAGTGGCCATAATAATGTGTCATTTAGTCTTTTTAAATAAATTCGGTAAAACATAAGACTGCAAAATTTCGTGCGAAAAAAATTCTGATTTCCACAAAATTTGGTAGGCGTCTGAGGGTTTTTGAACATGAAAATCACGAATATGAAATTAGTTTTTGAAAACGAATAATGTAAACTATATTTCTGCAACTTTCATCACCTAATATTTTTGCGCCGAGGTACAAGCGATTATTTTTTAATGTTATATACAAAAATAGTAATGGAATACAAATGACAAAGTTTCAATACAGTTATCTATGCACTTGTCACGAACAATAAATGATTATAGAAAAAACGCGAACGTCGAAATTCATAAGCAACTCCAATATTTTCAAGGCAAGTTATCTATACTACAATTCTAAAACGAATTGAGAGCGGGAATGTGCTATCCTTTGTCCCAAGGTTTACGTTCTTGCTCTGTATTGATTTTGTATACGCCAACATCCAACCAAGAATGTATAGTGTAGATTCTTGACTCTAATTTCCCACGTACGCGTTTAGGCGATGTGTGTAAAAGAAATCGAATATGAGTGCGCCTCTCAGCCCCGCATCATCCTGCGGACCATCTGAATCATTTGAATTTACGCCCCTACAATTAGCCGCGCATTGGGGAAATGTTCAGGAAGTTAGGTAAATAAAATAATTTCTCACTTGTAAAAGATGGGTCCGTTGGTAATTTTTAGATATTTGATTGATAGCGGTGTTCAACTGGATAATGGACCCGATACCGCTTTACATTTGGCATTACGTAAATGCCACAGCACCATCGCGATATTACTCTTGGATGCCGGTGCAAATTTTGAATTAAAAGATACTGTAAGTACGTGTTGTCAGTTATGAACCATTTTTCAATGCTCTTTATAGCACGAAGATTGTCCTATACACATCGCCTGTACATTCGGCTTATTAAATGTTGTGCACACTCTTTGTGCGTTAGGCTGTCGACTTGAAATAACCGACTCTAGAGGTCTATATCCGTTGCACTTAGCCGCAAAGAATGGCCATACTCACGTTGTAAGGTATTGTTGATTTAGGTACTGTGTGTCGTTCAAGTTGTTTCACCTTGACAGATTGTCCACACCATCAGTGGTACCTATACGTAAAAAATGTTCCTCATACTAGTAGGACCAATATTGACGTGATAACTAATTTATTAATAACGACTTAATTAAAAATGTATTGCCGAGCCTCATTCCAATTTCCATTGCTTTGCTAGCTTTAGAATGACTAACGGTACACTATAGGGTATCTTGAAACCTTTAGATAGGAGGGTATAATATTTGAACATTTCAAATTTCAGTTGGCTGTTTCCCCCAGGACTAAATATGGTTTTGGAGACATATGGAAACATTATTTTGTATCTTTGAGTTTTGATCATAAAATCATTTATTCACTAAGTTCGTTGAAAAACGTGTAAAATATTCGATGCCTGTGAAATCATTATCATGTACTTAATCAAATTGATTTCAATAAAACATGTAAAAATCGAGGCACAAAAATGAATTGCTGGTGAGCCTTTCAATTGCCATTTCGTTCTTTCAATTCTTCTCTTTGATTGTTCATACGCTTCGGATTCTTTGGCATCTTTCAAATTTGTGAATTTCTGGTGTTCTTCAAATCTCTTCATATTCTTTCAGTTTTTCTCTTTGAATTCATCAATTCATTCATTCGTATTGAAAAAGGTACAAATTTGTACTGCACCAAGTTTTTGTTTCTTTGATTGATTTTGTTTAAATAATCCTCCAACTGCATATAGAACTCTTACCTCTCGCGATTTAGAAGACGAGAATTTTTTAAGCTACCTATCATAAATTTACAAACCATTTCCAGTTTTCAACCTATTGTATTACAATACGCGACGGCCCTGGGCTCGTTGGGTCCAGTAGTCCCCCTCCCTTGTGTGGGGACCTCAGGTGAAACAAGCTAGCCTGATGGACCTCGTTACGTATGATCTTATAAAGGAAATTGCATTCTCATTGAAAGATAGTTCCGTTCCAATTCGCTTTAAAGATAGCCATTCCGCATAGGGTCCCGTGACGGATGTGATAAATTTACTCTCTTGCAAAACATATTCCGCGAGGATAAGAAGTAGTCACTTCAAAAATATTTTTATTGTTAGGTTGCCAAAAATAGGTTCTTCTTTGCACATACGTAGTGATTTAAATCTACCTATAGTATTTTTTAAAGTGAGAAAAAAATATAAAATGTTCTCATCGCAGGTGTTTGTGTGCTGCCGGTTGCAATTTAGATGTTCACTATGGTGATAATATACGCGCAGATATTACAGCACTAAAATATGGACACAACGAAATTGCCGAACTTTTGGATAAGTTACGAGCGACGGGGCAACGTGATACATACGCAAGACAACTGGTCCCTACATCTAAATTATACGTACGCCTTATCGTTCGCGTTTTTGGAAATTGTGGTGTCGGCAAGACATCACTCATTAAGTCACTGGGCGCCGGGTTATTTTCTACATTGTTTAGGCGGTCAGGTTCGCTTCAGAGTAATAAATGTACGCAGATCTTCGCCGAGTACTATCAGTTTGATTTAAATTCGCTGTTACAGCGCGGCCTTCTTCGCCCATCAGCGCGCAAATTGAAATGGATGTAACGTCACGTCAAAATTCGCTAACGTTTGAGAGCTCTGCTTCCTACAAGTCGACTAAAGGAATTCATATTCAGAATGTAAGTTTTAAGTATGTGCATTAATCAATTCTCCTCGTATGGCTTTAGTTGGAAATATCAAATGTGGGCGACGTAGTTGTATGGGAATTCTCAGGACAAGAAAATTACTTTCCCACGTATCACCACTTTTTGCACCCATCACCTCAAACGCTAACTTTGGTCTTATTCAACTTAGAGGATAGTCCGGTAGTGCAGGTACAGCAGGCATGTTTCTGGATTAACTTTATTATGGCAAGGGAAGCGCACGAATGGTCTTTATGTGAGTATAAGTACATCGTGTAGTATCGAGTTCTTCAGTTTCAAATTCTAGTCAAGGTAGGACCGATCGTTTTGGTCGCTACTCACGTAGATTCAACAAGGGCAATCAAAAATCAACAAGGAGAATGGGTATCGCCTGACGCGCAAACAACTCTTGAAACTGTCGAAAAATTAATACCTGATGTGCAGTACTTGCATCCCAGCGTCATTGTGATGGATAGTAACGTGCCCGCATCTCAACCATTCAAACATCTTAAATCGATGCTTTTAACACTAAAGCGTGACAACTTAGAGGCTAGCTTATTGCTATAAGCAAAGTGTTGGAAATTTACTGACTTCTATTGTAGAAGACAATCGGCATGTGGACGGGGTTACTTGAATCAACTTTATCATGGTTAGCACACCTACGAAAAGAGTATGAACAGTTTCCGGTTATACACAGAAAAGCCTTTTACGATTTAGTTAGGACTAGTGTGAACGTGTTAGCTTCTGATGATCATATTCGGGCACTCCTTCACCAGCTACATAATATGGGTGAAGTAAGTAGCGCAAATTATTTATCTAGAAGGTGACTGCGATCTATTTTTTTTAGATATTTTGCATCAATGAGTTGGTCGTGATTTCCCTCGCTTGGTTTGGTTTGCAATTAATTGGCGAATTTCTGTCGACTGAATTTTTAGCTAACGTTCGAGCCACTGGCGTCTACACGCCGGATGATTTTCAAGCCTCCTTCAATCAGTTTGATGCGCTCGGTACCTTGCAGTTGATGGAAGCGTTGGAATTATGCATTCAGGTTTGTGTTAGAAATAATTTTCCAAAAAAATTAATACTGGCCAAATCAACCATAACAACGCATGTCATTTTGTTGAGAAACGGACCCCGTACCAGGTCAATAAACGTCACTCGCTTATCTCTAATTATGTAAGTAGTGATCCTAGCATGTGAAATAAGATGCAGTTTAAAGATTGCTAGATGTTAACCATGGAATGCAAAGGTGATCAAGAGTGCATTTAATTCAATTCAATTCAAAGTGATGGCTGCAAAATAACGTAGAAATGTAACGTACAGTTCGCCATACGAAATTTTTGTCATCAGATAATAAACTTATTATATCTAACATTCTAACTAATTGAATCACAAAACCTATGGGATTGAATAAAGAAATTCATTAGGAGATGGGGATATTATGAAGGTTGAAACCTATGCGGGAGTGTATTTAGTCGCAAAAACACAATATAAAATGTATGTTATAGTCACATAATCACACTGTATGTATTAGCTGCTTCCTGCAAGGAATAGTTATAAACAACTCTTACAGGGAAACGTCAAATTAAAGGACCCCCTTCTCATATATTCTAAGGACACAAGATCTGCAGTCCGCACGAAATCAGGAAGCAACGTATAATACAGCGAATAATCGGATTGTATAAATAAGGTATACTTGCTCTAAGGAATAGTTAAATCGAATCGTAAATAATAAACTTACCCACGTGAATGCATAAGTAAATACTTATAAAACAATGGCCCATATGAATAAAAGTGAGCATATGCTTATATACATGCAAAATTCAAAGTAAATACTCGTAACTGCCCCTTCACACTGGGAGATTTAGCAGCGGGACGGGACGCAGTGCAGCGCTGCTGACCATCTCAGTGTGAAGGGGCACTTACGAGTATTTACTTTGAATTTTGCAAGTATAAGCATATGCTCCCTTTTATTCATATGAGCCAATATGAAGGCATACCCACGTGTACAACGCAACATTACAAATATCAACATTCTGCATAATGTAAATAATACCAAATTGTGAGACGAAATTTAAAGATTAGCTAATGATTAGTACAAGAAAGAATAAAATCGTTATTTACCTGTAATTACACTTTTCAAAACAGAACAAATAAGAAATATTGGGAAATCGAGAACGCGTGCCGTTATACCAAGCCTCCTTGTGTAAATTCCCTGCACTTCAATAGCTGCGCAGAACGATAGTGTAGTCTTTTATGTGTACAAATTTCCTTTACTTACAGAGTATAGAGCAAAAAATAATTAATTTTAACCCGAGTCACAATTACCGTCCGTTACAATTTCAAGTGTAATTTCAAATCGCAGGTCCTCATTTTCAGGATTGTAATTTGCATTTGCAATTTAGAGCACATTAATTTGCACCTACCAACCCGTGTTTCAAGAAAGCACAACCCTATAAAAATTATTGGCTACAAGGGTCCTGGGTTCGAATCCCAGGTAAGGCAAGGCTGTTTGTGATTGTATAGTGGGTTGAGTGGGAAGAGTAGCAAATTGCTAACACTCCGCCCATTATAAAATAAAGGCAATAAAATAAAAAAATTAATCGTTTTTCAATTTTTAGTCACGTCAGTTTTGCCATCCAAGCATACTGTACATTTCACCCTGCACCATTAAGTGTTAAATCTTAAACCTGGGTCGCGTACCTTCAATTTGCATTCATAAATTATAATTGGAAGTGTTCTAAAGGAATTCTTTGAAAGTCAATGGTGTATTTCTGTAATACTACACATAAATCGTGTAGTTTGTTGAAAGGGACTAACCTAATATGGGTTATAATGCATTTGTTTAAACTTCAAAGGGGGTTATTTGAGCTGCTCCTTATGATGTCCAACGTTGCAAGTAGCCGGAAAAGGCCCAGGACCTTCTCTATATAACCACTGATAGTGTTTCAGCAAAGTCGAAATGTCTAATGTAGTTTTGGGACATTTTTTAGTAAATTTACAACTATTTGGTTATTAACATTCTCTCTGTTATTAACATTGATGATACCTACTTTTGCATAACTCTCAGTGAACCCAATATCTTCTGGACATAATTATATTTGGATTTAAAAAAATTGTGTAGAGGAATATCTTTGTATGATTAGCAAGTTTGACCATAGTGTGAAGTCGATGGAGAAACTGAATACGAATTTCCCATCTACAATCAAACAGAAACCTTGCCAGGATTGTGGGATTCCGGAGACCCTCGCTATCGCACTACTGGCGCATGTTACGGAGGAGTACGTTTATACGCATCTTCAAACTGTCATCATTTATTCACCTCCATATTTCCCCACATACAGGTTTGTGTTTATATAAATCTGTGTATATCTAACAAAAGTGCGGTTTAAGATTGAATTGCGACGTGCTGCTATTGCTAATTCCTGCAACAACGATAATGATACTGATTTGTACCAGTGGCATCACGGTTCGAAACTGTGCACCATTGCGTTGGAAACACTCATTACGTTAGACACAGATGAACGGAGTTCTCAATATATTGAGATAAAAATTCGTGGTCCCCAGCAAACCTCCCAGTACTGCTTCTATTTTTTGGAGAATGTAATTGAAACTGTTTTACAGGTATGCTAGTGAAGTATTTGAATCCATTAATTACAGGAAGTGCCGTAGGGAATAGCACGAGTGTGTCCAGGATTGGTTATGGAACGCCATATTCTAAGCGTTCACCAACTGCGTATTCACTGCATTGAGCCGTATGCGTATCCATCTCAACTGTTGTCCACTGCAATGCTGGAGAGCGAATCTACTTTGGAGATAACTTTGCAGAACACTGAAACTGAAAAGTTTGAAAATGTCATTACACTGGCTTTGTTTGGTACCTCGTATTCTTACCATTTTAATTTGAATGTGACAGCTTAGTTCCAGGAGATGTTGAGCTTGTCAGTAAGATACATTGGGGTTGTTCTTTGAAAGTACAGCATTTACCTATAGCTGTAAAATTTAAGCTCGCTAGACTTTTAGATCCTCCCCATTCTCATGGACGTGACTGGTGCTTATTAGCCTTGCGGCTAGGATTGGAACCCGAAAAAATTGCCACAGCAGATTCACACAGTCACAGCTGCACAATGCGCTTACTTGCATTAACCGATTGTACCATTGGTACTTGAAATTTCATCAAATCTCATTTACTAATTCGTCTGGTTTCAGGTGCGCTAATAGCCAACTTACAAGAACTAGGTAGGAATGATACCGCCGAAGTTGTTCTAAGAACTTCGCCGTTATTACAAATCATAGATAACGCTACAGAATAATCCGAACTACATTTAGAAGTAGCATTCCGACATAACTATACTAGTGTGCTTTTGTACCGTCCTTTAACTACACACTTTATGTTATTTGAAGATATTTGCTCATCAGTATAAATGCAACGAATATGATTACAAACCAATTTTATTAAGGAAAATCCTTTATATTCTGTTACAAAGTGTCTATTTTTCTAATGTTTTTATACAAATATTTCCCCACAGGGTTTGTTCCAGTATTTATGTGATAAATTCTATTGTAACTATGAAATGGCATTGTATAGCATCATAAGGTGCATTCAATATACTTACATATTGTTAAAACAATTAGTGCATCACGATTTTTCAATTCAATTTTTTTTCTTTTTTTGTGCGCATTTTCCCAGCTAGTGATAGCATAGTGTATTTTATTCTTACACTATGGTGATAGTAATCATTGCGTAAACGTTTGCTTTTAAAAATATTGCTATAGACTTATGCAAAAATGCACAGTTTTGGCTTTACGAGTTACGGACATATTTTCGTTTTTCAAACTTTACGTGACTGCAGCCGGCGAAACCGATCGTTTCTGTCCCATGCGAGAGCGGAATAATAGGGCGAAGTGAGGCGCAGTCTCCGAAACCCAGTGTATCTTCCATCCTAGAAAACGAGATTTCCCAAAGATGGTACAAAGTTCGTGGGGTCTGTTAGCACATTTAAAAAAAAGTTAGTATTTTCGGTAATATGTACAGGGTGGCCAACTAAGAATGCGAGGTACTGTATCTGAGAATCTATCCATCGTAGAGGCTTGCGGTAAAAAAATTTATTACTAAAACGGCCACGAGCAAAATCTGGAAAATATTTTTAAGTTTCTGAAATGACCATTTTTTTTCGGGGCTCAAAAAAGGCAGTGTATTACCTTCCTTTTTTACCAAAAATCGACTACACCAAAATTTCTCGGGAAAACACTTTTTCTTATGAATTTGGGTGCGTAGAATCCAAATCAATTTGTACTTTTTCGATCAGACTTCTCAATCAAAAGTTATAGTCTAGAAACCAATTTCGAAAAAAAATTCAAAGGGCTATAACTTTTGAACTAGTAGCCCAATCTTGGAACTGTTTGAAATTATGGATTCTACGGGCCACATTCTATAAGAAAAATTTTTTTCCACGACGATCTAAGACATTTTTTTTTGGGGCAAAAAAAGGCAGTGTACAACCTTCCTTTTTTCCAAAAATCGACTGCACCAAAATTTCTCGGGAAAACACTTTTTCTTATTAATTTTGGTGCTAAGAATCCAAAACAATTCGTACTTTTTCGATCAGACTTCTCAATCAAAAGTTATAGTTATAGACTAGAAACGGCCGTCCGTTTACCCGCCCTGTCCTTTGGCATTCCAAAAACGCTATGACGCAAAGGAATAGGCTATAATACAGGAGCGAAATGTTTAATTTTCGAGTTTCGTGGTTTACTCCTTTGACAGCGAAATGCACAAATCCCAAAATGTTTATAGCCTTGCCTGAGTTTTTGGTTAATATTAAAATAATCAAAGCAGAATACATTGTGCTGACATCTGTCTTTATTATTGGGGACTAACATTTTATCGCTAAATGCAGGACACTTTATTACCACCATTATTTTAGTTGGAACTTACACCTCAAAGATGTCGCCACACTAATTTTGTAATGTACTTTATGAAACTAACGTTAGATGTCGGAGCGCTGTTTGTAAAAACCATAGATATATGAAGTTTTAACCTCAAATGCATAATTAATGTTTGTTTATTTTATAGTCAAAAATTAAACTTTGTTATCATTCCTTTCTCGCTTACAGGTTTAAATTAGGGAACTGGCTACTGGGAGTGACAGGAAAGCGTCAGAGTCAACCTTTGCGGAATATGATGCTGTTTGCTCTGGGTCGTGCAATCGAAGACATGTAGTTCTCGATGGATGAGAAACGTTAGCATTGAATTCAGACAACACAAATTGAAAAGGGAAATGCTTTGTAACCAAAACAGGAGGACACCATGGAGAACTCGCAGAAAACCCATTCTAATCAATTCAAACTTCTCAAGGTTACAATCGGAACGATTACATGATTGCAGCAGCTGGCGATGGTGCGAAGCTATTCTTTAAAGAATTGAGGCTAGAGTTTATTGATAGAACTACGGTTATAGAAACGGTAGTGAAATTGGCAGCAAAATAAGGCAAAAGTGTTACGCAGTTTGCAATCACGAAAAAATGTGTTGTTTGTGCGATCCTCGTGTGAAAGTTGTTGTAAAACGGTTCAGTTTAATGTACCTGTTGTTGGAATTGTTCTTCCAAGGGCTTTAAATAAACTCCTATGCATAAGAAGTTACAAATTGCAAAAAATTGTTTTCTGTTCATTGAGCATGATGTATTGCCTATAAGCCAGGCTACACAAATATCGAGTGCCCATATTCAAATTAGGGATTTGCTTGAATCTCCCCAATCTGCCCTTCTTATTGAGGGTAAGGAGGGCCTCCACGAACGAATGGCCCAGGGCCTCGAAAAACTTAAAAACGGCACTGCATTTAAGGAATAATAAGTGCAACGTTGCTATTAATCGCATAAATTCAAATAAAATTTCAAAAGAAGGTGCGTACGTGGCGACATCTCAACTAGACTTCTAAAACTATTATTGATAGAAAGTGTATCGATTGCCAAGGAGATGGCGCACAAGTACTTGTATAAATTATCTATTCAAAAACCGGGCCTTTAAACTACAATTGCTCTACAGATCTTGCAAGACTCCGTACATTTTGAACTGCCATTTATTCAGACTTCTCAATCAAGTTATAGACTAGAAACAAATTCAAAGGGCTGTAACTTTTGAACTAGTAGCCCAATCTTGGAACTGTTTGAAATTATGGATTCTACAGGCCACATTCTATAAGAAAATCTTTTTTCCGGGTCGATCTGAGACAATTTTTTGTTCGGGGCTCAAAAAAAGGCAGTGTATTACCTTCCTTTTTTACCAAAAATCGACTACACCAAAATTTCTCGGGAAAACACTTTTTCTTATTAATTTGGGTGCGTAGAATCCAAAACAATTCGAACTTTTTCGATCAGACTTGTCAATCAAAAGTTATAGACTAGAAAAAAATTCAAAGGGCTATAACTTTTGAACTAGTAGCCCAATCATGGAACTGTTTGAAATTATGGATCTTGATCTGACCAGAACAGTTATTTAGCTCTCGTTACCTTCACGTTTAGAATAGAACTGACTCTGCTTGAACATTTAAATAAAAATTCCAATTTATCAACATTTTATTAAAAGAAATATGACACTTACAAATAAATAAACACTAATGTACGTAACAAAGTCTTTTGGTCAACTGATAAAAACGACCAAAGCTGACTTTCTAAATGCGGTAAACTTGTTGTATCACTAGTTTGACATGTGATTACTAGAGATTGCAGAAGTAAAAGTAGTTCTTCACACATGTATGCTAAAAGAATATTTCAAAATACCTACCATCAATAAAAATATGTAGACAAAGTTAAGAAAGAAACAGACACAAAAATTGAGCGATAGAGAGGGCTAAAACTAAGGATAAATAAACTTTTTTTTTTCAAATTGAGAACCCAATTAATGTTTTCTCTCTAATTGTCCCAAAATTGGCGTCTTTTGCTATTTTGTTCTCTGTAGTCTTAATGCAATATTGTAATAACATGCATAAAAAAACTGCTTAGAAGCATATTTTGATTCACCTCTTACTAAAATGTAGCTAGTGCGTAGATTGCTCTGAACATACAAAACTCCTATCTTCAGTTCTTAAATATGCAACAATCACCAACATATTATAATTAATAATAATAATAATAATTTACAGCCGAAAGAAGAAAGTTACACGTCCTAGCACAGTTAAAAAACACAATACTCCTTCTTCTCAGAAACAACCCACTCGTATACAACCTAAGCGCAAAAACCTTAATAGCACCACAGGCTCACAAAATACTGCAAGATCTCCACCAAAAACCCAAGCAACCACACAAATACAACCTCAAGAACAAAGAAACACCATAAATACAAGTAAGGCAACAGGCAACACGCACCACAAAGACAGGTCCACCCAATAAAGTTACACGTCCTAGCACAGTTAAAAAACACAAAACTCCTTCTTCACAGAAACACACCACGTTATCACAACCCACTCATATTCAACCCAAACGCAAAAATTACAGGAATTATTATAATGATTTTTTTTTGTTTTGTTTTGTTTTCCTCTTTCCTGATAGCGTTGGCTATTGTGCCCATCAATACCTATGTTGGTAAGTATGAATTACATACTATCCCTCGATTTCCAATGTACGTGTGTGATTTTTATTTTTTTTTTTAGGACCCTACATAACACTTCACCAGACACAGACACAGACACAGACACTAATCGTTACTTGATTTTAATCCGTGCATTTTGTTTTTTCTTCTTTTGCATACATTTTATTAAGAATATAATTAATAATCTTAATTTAAGTAAAACATAATTATGAGATATTGACGTTTGTTGATAAACATTTGAAAAAGATGAAAGTAGATACCATTGGTTGCATATCTTAGGGGCATTTGAGTTGTGTATTTAACAATTGAACATAGAAGATTTGTATGTTGAGTTAAAATGTATGCACTGTATTTTTAAAGCAAAAGATGGGTGGAACCAGTTGTAACATGCTCGTAAATGAACTTACATTTCAGCTTGAGATCATTCATATCGCCCCACGTAAATTTCTCCAAGGTTTTGGCGAATTGTGGAGTCAACTTTTGGTGCGAAGGTTTCAAAATCAACAACAGAAAGATTTGAGTAACTTCACAATTCAGTAAAATATCAGATCTAACACCAGTCTTTGGAACATCTTTAAGTAGGTTTATTATTTCAGTAACTGCATCTAACGCTGAGCTGTAATCGCCTGGAACACCAAAATCTATATCTCTCATTAGAAAATCTGAGCCACTTACTCCGCTCTATCGCATTTGAAGAAAGCAATTGCAAGCAATGAATTCGAGTGTACAAAGAATATTCTGAGATATCAATGGCGTCCTTCAAATACATTTCTGTGGTTAAATTGTCATTTAATTTTGTGAGAGATTCTGCTATTTCGAGATCGATGCCGGTATGCAATGCACAAGTCTCTTGTAATCGCGACCGAGCATGAGTGTAGCAACCTAAAGCCGCCTGCAATGGTTGTAATTAAGGGATCTCATTTGTGACCGAAATTCTTACTTGTAAATTTTCGGTGGCCACACTTTGACAACCTAATGACTTGTTCTTAATTTGAGCAGACATGAAGTTATGTGCCGAACGAATGAGACACGACGTTTCACCTGGTACATTGCCCAATGAGCCCTCACATCGTGCGGCGGCAATCCAACACATTCCTGCGTATACAGGCATTTCAACAGTTTCGCAATGTCGGCCTAAGGTAGTAAAAGATTCGCAGGCATCGGTGACGTTGGGTTTACGCAAAAAACGTCTAAAATGAAGCTATTGTACACACTATATGTATATGTGGGTACAATTTACTTCTTTAACTTTGTAGAAATCTGTTTGTATATTTCTAAAATATCAAATCCTCCAGATTCCCCGGTCATTTTGTGGAATGTATTTATTTATTTAGATATCAGTATCACACATTGAACTATTAATAATATACAGAATACACTGTTGCTTATAGTTCAATCACAAATCATCACATCATTAGCTGTATTCGTTTCAAGTTTCAGGTTATGTTGTAGCGTTGATAGTGGTTTTTTTTGTGGTTATGATACCCCAATTTATAAATATATACAGGGTAGAAATTCTCAATGCCAAAACCCAAAAAGTATTTTTAATAGTAATTATTAATACCATTATATACTATTATTGAAATCGTTTTGGTGGTATTCATAGACAATTTAGGATTGCCACATGGCCGGGATTTTTCGAGACTGTCCCCGATCCCGGTTTTTCATGTACAAATCCCAGAACACAACGTCATGAATAAAAATTCAAAATTTACACTTCGAAACAAAAATACTGGCGACACTGCACGAACCAAAAGACACTCACAACCCCGACTGCGGATTTTGACAATCATGTGAATACGTAGGTTCTACTGAACCAATTGTGAAAGGATATTTGACGTGCCTTTGACTGTACATATAAAAAGAGTGGCGCTTTATACTACCACTCAGTGCTCGACCCAACCTGGTGATGGACGTATTGACAGAAGATGTCAAGGAGCTTGTTGACTAACGACATTGCTTTGGTAGAGGAAAATTAGGAAAAGGTTGAAGAAATACTGGAGGGTTTGGAAGCAGTTATCGAGGAGGTGTTTCTTAATATTAGTAGAAAGAAGACTGACTACCAGTGGTTTTGTGAGAAAGGATCAAGATGCATCATACATATTTGAAAGGGTTATATTAAGAATAGTATAAAATAAACAAATTCATTGTAAATAATATTTATTATAAATACTGTAAATGAAGTATAGAAATCGCAGTTTAACTTATTGGTACGAATACATGGTATAATTAGAAATACTGAATATTGCAATACTAAGAATGAATACTTTATGGAATGTGTGAAACGGTGAAAAACTCTTAAATAAAAAAGCACAAGCTAAATGTAAATACTAAATATCACCAAAAAATCTACCTTGGAGCAATATTGAAAGACAAAAAAATACATCACATAATTTCTGGTAAGACAGATCCCCATGCCTATTGCTTTTAAGTCTAAATTAATCAATAAAAATAACACAAATAAATCTGTATCTCATGAGTAAAAGAATTTTTTAATCATATAAAATAAACCACGCTTTTAATTTAGACTTAAATACATTTTTAATATTGTTATATAAGTCAATAACTTGTAATATTGTTCTTCCAATTTGATAATCTCCTAACATACTCAAATTTGAAATTTTCTTTCTAGCTGCTCCCTTTTACATAAGCTGCAGCCGAAAAGCTATGTATTTTAGTATATTACATAAATACATTTGAGTAACATTTTTTTAAAGACCTAAAGAATTGCCCTATTCGCTTTATTTAAAAATACCCAATTCCTAGAGTTTTTATCCTCCTATTTATATTATATACAAAAGTATATACCCAACGTGCAATATGAAAGAGCAGAAAAACTGATCTACATTACCTTCATCATCAACTTTAGAATTTTTAACTCGAAAGTGGAAACGTCCACTTTCTCAAAAAGCGCAAGCATCAAAATACAGTAGATGCAATTGTATCAAACGTAAACAATAACTAAATGCAGATTGTATCAAAAATCTTGTTTTCTTGCACTATTCGATTAATTTAGCGGAAGGCAAAAAATATTTTGTAAAATAGACTTACTTGGTCTAATATCGACTTGCACTAAACTGACGTCGTATCCCTCTAGCTCGGGTGGTGGCGGAGGAGGGAAAACAGGTGGTGGAAAACGTGGTAAGGGAGGAGGTGGTAAATTTTTGGGGTGTAAAGCACATAACTCGTGATGTCACACGCAGTCTTCCAAGGACATTAATAATGGATTGACGTACTCAAAACCTTCGAACTCGGACTGATCTATTTTTTCTATCACGCGCCTTTTGGGAACCAAAAAATTAGTAATTCAGACAGACTAAGGGTACAGTTTAAACTTACGGATCATCCGGAGTGAGATGTACAGGTTCATCGGTAAACTCGGGTGGGAAATTCGCTAAATCTCTGTCACCGTCTAATCTTGGTTTATATGGGGGTGGTACTTGTTTCTGTTCTAGCTGTAATTAACCAGAAAACATTAATTTACAACAAGACGCACAGAAGAACAATAACAAAGGATAAGGTTGGGTGCAAAATAAACGCTTTTTTAGAGCAACAAAAATACTGTCCATCTTCTCCCAGTTTCAGAATGCTGGAGTCAGAGGTGCAAATAGAATTTTACTATATGAAACCGTTTGGCCGTCACAGCGAGCTTCTCAAATTTAGTGAATGTTTAAAAACAAAAGCGAGTTTCTCATACAATTTGGGCCCAGAGTGAGTACATTGAACGAAATTTCCATAAGAAAGCGTGTACTTTAGGTTTACTCATTTGTAAGAATAAAGAAATGGCACACAGAACAAAAAAAGCACAGTAATACACATACCATATCCCAATCAATGCTCTTGAAAAACTGGTGACTTGTAATTTCAACAAACGATTCGGAGCTATGACAACCCAGTCGATCGGCCGGATTCTTATTAAGAAACCCTTTAAGAACGTTAGCCGCCTTAACGCTAAGGGACCTAGGAATACGGATTGTTTTTTCTAATATAACTTGGAATAAGTAGTCTTCAGTATTTTGGTCAGGATTTTCCGAAGCGCCCGCTATATCAAATGGAGATCGTCCAGCAAGCATTTCATACAGTAGCACTCCTAATTGTAGATTAAAATTAATCAACACAAAAATACAACCTAAAAGTAAGTTAAGCGTGTACAGTAAAGTTTATAGTCCAGACAATTTATTACACAGATTACATAAGAACTTGTGCCAGCAAAGAGACTTGGCTTGTCATATTTAGGATTAGCATGCTGAAATAATAAGGCAAAAGTCCTCAAAAACAGAAGTCTTTGCTAAAAGTGCCATTCATTCAAAGAACAGTTTGTTCCCATTTACTCAAAAACTACAAGGTGATTCAAACAACCCCTACTTTTGAGCCCATCATTTTTTCCTAGTAAACTGAGAGTTTAACTGTATAATCGAGACGAATTGGGGTCATTTCTTTTGTGAGTTGCATTAAACTTTACGACTACCAGTTCCGTAATCTTATATTTGAATGTCACTTAATTAATCTTGAGACAGTCCGTTAACTAGCAGGGATACCAAAAAATATAAGAATAATAATAGAGGTTTATTAAATAGAATATTATATAGAACGATTTTCAAAATAAATCCACATTTTTCCAGCATTTTTTGGCATCACAACGAACCAATCGCAGAATGCCATAAAGAAAGTACTTGTAACAGGATGTAACATATAAGTCATGAGAGCACGGTGATGGTCAAAGTACCTTTGTCTATTCATCCTTTTAGTTTAGAATGGCATTAGATACCTACATTTCAAAAGAATTTGCTGATAAGAAATTTGCTAATAGTTTTACATATTGTATTTTGACCATCACTGTGCTCTCATTACTTACTTGTTAACTAATTGTCTTAAAAATCTATCATCCCGTTACATACCTCACTTATATTAATTGAACTACTAGAGATTTGATATATTTAAAAAAATGATTTATTTTGCGCATGCGCGATCACTTTTAGAAGAAGCGATCGCATATTCGAAAGCTAAGATGCGGACAATTTCGTTTGACATTGGTCCAATACTGAACTTTACAGCTAAGCGGTAAATGATGGCATTTTACTAAATTTTGCAAGATAGCGACTTTGAGAACTATAGTTTGTAAGCAATATACATACCAAGTCCCTTGCTTTTGCTTGTATTAGGTAAATTTCTCTAATATAACTGGACGATTAAAAATTCCTGACGACAATTTTACCCAGTTTGGCTTACCAAGCGCCCACCAGTCCACTGAAAATCCGTAGTCTTCACCTCGTAAAATCTCGGGTGCGATATAATTCGGAGTTCCGCAGAAAGTTGAAGTGGTATCGCCTGGCCGTATTCCCTCCTTACACATACCGTAGTCTGTCAGCTTGATATGACCTTCATGATCTAACAGGACATTGTCAAGCTTTAAGTCACGATAAATAATTCCTTTGCAGTGCAAAAAGTTAAGAGCTAGTGAAATTTCAGCGGCGTAAAACCGGGCGTGTTCCTCCGGTAAACGCCGTTGTCGTTGCATATGAAACATAAGATCACCACCGCGCACGAATTCAATAACAAAAAATAATCTGGAAGGTGTTTGAAAACAAGAATGGAGACCAACTAAAAATGGATGATTTGACGCCGTCTCGAAGACGTGCTTTTCAGTTTGGACCCAATCTATGTCTTCATCGTCGGTTACTAAAGCCTTTTTAATAACTTTCATTGCGTAAATTCTACCAGTTTTTTTCAATTCCACCATTAAAACTTTAGCATAGGAACCTCTGCCGATTACACGAATTAAGTCAAAATCATTGAGCGAGTATTGTCGTTGTGATCCTGGTTCGAGCGCCTCATCAGATACCTTGGAAGGATCTTCTACTGGTACTGAGTCACCTAAACACAACATGGAGATCAATTCGTTGAGGACGAACTGAACTCACCTGTAACATCAGGTGGTGGTTCAGGAAAATCTCTCAGTTCAGATATTAGTTCGCTTCGTGCTATACCGACAGCTTGAGTTTCTCCATTGTGATCTTCCTTGATAATTGGCTCGATATGTTCATTGGTACAGGGAATTTGAACCAATTTGTGGCACTTTTTGTGAACCAAGAGCTTACATTGAATACATTTGAAGCCTTGTCTTCCTAAACCCCAAATTCTATCATGGCAAAACGCACAGAAAGCTCTCTGCAAACCACTTCATCACAAATAAATACAGAACACTCGATTACGTACCCTATTAAATCGTTTTGCTTGAAATATGTGACCATTCACTCTGTACAACTTCCTCCAGCGTCTCGCTCCTCTTCTGTAAATGCTACCTGTAAACAAACAGTAAATAAGAACCCTTGGATGGTTACTTTATCCTATACCATGAACTGGTTTCGTTTTAATTTGTGACGCACAAAAAAATTTACAGCATTTCACAAACGTTTTCAAATTCATTTTAGTTTAATGTCTATGACCGAGCAACTCATTTATTGCACTACAAAACACAAAATTGTAGAATAGAGAGGGGTAGAGGTCAAACTAGTTTATCAGTTTGATTGCAAGCGCAAATGTATTAAAAGTAAAGGATGCATGATTACAATTTAAGCAGATATTTTTGGGAAAATCCTATGATCAAATTTCCAGTAAATACAAAAAAAACCAAACTCTTTTGACAATTCGTTACAACAGATTAGAATTCAAAGTAGTATAAAAAAATATAGGACAGGACTCTTGGAGTAGCAAATAAAAAAGTTGAAAAATGTTATCCAAAACGCGTTATTGTGTCTGTCCGTCCTCCCATCGGCAAACAAAACGATGTGCAGCAAATTTGCCGTTATTTCCCATGTATACAAATTTCAAGATTTGGTGCAAGTACAAAATTTAAAAAAAACAGTGAAATAGAAAAAAGCAGGCACAGTAAAAGACAGATGAAATGTTCACCGTTAAATTCAAAAGAATGAAGTTCCGATTGGTAGTTGGAAACCAAATTCTTTTTGTTGCTGCTAGAGCCGATTTTTTGCGACTTTGTTGTTTTCAATCTGAAATGTGGGTAAGACTACCCAAAACTATCATAATTGTTTCCGATTTTTCGACCCAATTCAAATGTTTATAAGAAAACCTTTTTCGTACTTCCGAGACTAAAGTGACAACTTCACTCCATTATGACAAGCACTGAAGTCTCACTTTTTGTCCCGCCGGGATTAAATTTGGACGAAAATCCCGGAAGGATGAAATTACTAACAAGGCAATTTCAGTAGGTTGTTCCACATTTTGTATGCGGCACTACTTCTTAAACGCATCGTAGTGCTGCTCATATAGTTTTTTGGATTTCGGTGGTATAAATATTCTTTTTCTATTTCGATGTGGAAACAATACCGAAACCGTACTTGATTGGTCCAGTTTGCGTGCGTTTCTAGACAAAAATGATGCTGAAAGAAATAGAAACGTATTCTTTTTTTTATTTTGTTGGATTGGTACCCCTCGCTTTTTTGCCGTCATCGGTATCCGTCAAATCAAAACTAAACATAATCTGTAACGTGTAAATAAAGTACGAGAGAGGACTTTTTAACTAAATTTCAAATAAACAAAGGTATGACAATTTATTGTACAAGAGACGTGTTTGTCATCCGTATTCATCATAACTGCCGCAAAATGGAATTATGACCAAATAATTAAAAATTTGAAGTTTGAAAATACAGGAATCAGGTTAGCCAACGTGAAAATAAATGAACTGTGTCTATTACCAACATACACTGAATGATAGTTTAAAATTACCTAACAACGCCTAAAGGCAATATTTATAATTTGTATATATTATTTAAAAGTCGAAATAGAAAAAATAGTATAAAGCACACGTGTCATTTGACTACTTGTCGCACTCGGCTTTTACCGCATTCGCCGCTACGCGGCTTATGCGGCAAACTACCTCGTGCGACAATCTTCGCCAAATGACACTTGTACTTTAATATACTATTACCTACTTTGGATGCTTTTTTATCAATATCAAATACAGCTTTGTCACCCACCACCAAAATTATGACACTAGCAATGACAGTTTCCAAATTATTTTTGTTACCATAGCATACGGATTGTAGCACCAACGCAACGTTCCTATGGTAAAGCCGGATTTATAGTTCCGTAGCCGTAAGAACGTAAGAACGGAACCGTCAAATCTTACGTTAACGAAAATTATACGATTTATAGTTACCGTAGTGGTAAGAGATGAGCTTGCGCATTAGTGCGAAACGACATCTGCCATTGTATGTCATCTGTCAGTAAGAGTAACGTGCATTTCAAAATAATAATAACCAACAAAGTGTCAATAACTGTTTGAATTATCCGAGTATTGCCGACGACAAACGCGTTAGCACGATTTACCGTAAGAAATAAGATTTGGGCATTTCCTACGTACCGTAACCGTTCTAACGCAACGTTAACGCGAACTATAAATGTTCACACGCCACAATTCCAAACGTTACGGTACGGCGTTGCGGGTACGGAACTATAAATTCAGCTTAACTTGTTAAGATGCGATTTTTTGAAAGAACGCGTTCTCTAACTCCATATACATATTAACTGTTTCAGTTTCGGAAGTACTAAAAATATCGTATATACCTTGCGACTGAAGTAGTGGTCTTAATCCCTCAGGTAAATTATGGCCCTCCCTTCGGTCGGGCCATAAACTTTACCTTCAGAATTAAAAGTACTACTTCAGTCCCGCGGTATACAGGGTGGTGACTTACGTAACGCATCATAGGGATTTCAATGTAAAATTCATAACATGCGATTATTGGCTCCCCAAATTATTTTAGATCAAAAATGTATTAAGGTTTTTTGTAGAAAAAAATTTTTTACGTCAATCAACCGTATTACTTTTCATTTTTTTGCATAATAAAGACGGAAAATTGGAAAAATAAAACCCGCATCTTTTTCAATCATCTGTGAAGCCATGGAATTTTCTAAAACAAAAAGATATCCAGTTATCAATATTAGCAGCAGTTCGAAATGGATTTTATGATCGACTTGGTTACTGTCTTGTAGTTAATGGTGACTTATTCGAACATTTATTGTAAATTGTTATATTAGGAAACCCTTTTCAGTAATTTAGTCTTTCTTTATGTTGAATTCGCTGTTCTAAATATAATACTTTTTGATGGAATTTGATTTGTTTTATAGCTGACGTTCCATGGCATGACGGATATTGGCGTAGTTGTTGTATTATAAAATTCCATGGCATCACAGATTATTGCAAAGATGCGGGTTTTATTTTTCCAATTTTCCGTTTTTATTATGCAAAAAATTGAAAAGTAATACGGTTGATTGACGTAAAAATTTTTTTTCTACAAAAAACCTTAATACATTTTTGCTCTAAAATAATTTGGGGAGCCAATAATCGCATGTTATGAATTTTACATTGAAATCCCTATGATGCGTTACGCAAGTCACCACCCTGTATAATATACCATTATGTTATATGTCAAACAAAATGAAATATGTAATAAGTTTTCAATAATTATTGTCTGTTGTGGAGAAGGCGGGGCCGTGAGAGGTGATAGGTAATAAATTCACCTCACTACCATTTCATATTAGGTGAGTATGAAAGAGATTACAATTCCTGATCAAGCTACCCCATTGTGAGCTATACCAACCAATTTCATCATGAGTATATTACAACACACTCAATATAAAACAGCCCTAAAACAAGGCTAGAAACTTAATAAAACTAAAAGTAAACAAAACTAGTTACTAAACTAATAAAATAAAAACTACTTACGATCCTCTCCTTGACATGGCATTCCGGGTTGCGATGGTACATTTGGGAATACTACGAACAAAAGAGAACAGAGTAAGAGTTTCGTCCCCTTCAACTTCTTAATTGCTATAAGTAATAAATATCCCCTATGAAGATAAACCTTTTTTCACCTGCTATTTGGTAAATATAGATTAGATAATGGAAATGATCGATTTTGAAACTTTCCCTAAAAGCGATAAAAATACAAAATATGCGCACCTCTGGGCATATTCGCCAACATTAAAGTTATGCCGTGGTTCAACATAGTGGGGTGATAACCGTATAAGACTGCAGCCTCGCACATTTCCTTCCATACGTTCATATTAACCGAACTTTTGAACCTATCCCATTTTTTCTGCATTTTCATATAATTAGCCTTGATCGAAGCCCATATCTGACTTTAATTGCAGAATGAGAAAAAAACACCGAGTTGATTGAAAGAGGCACAACGCGAGCAAATCACACGTAAAGTACTTTACAAACAAGAAATGCGTCGAGATAATGACGTTATCTTTTGCTTAATTTGAAGATAAGATTAAGTATGGACTTTAATTAAATACAAGGTGGACCACGGGAGCGGGAAGATTTGAAGACAATGTAATCCAGAAAGTAACTGTATTTAATTAAAACAATGTACTATATACTATAAATAGTATATTATGTATCAAGTTTTATAAACGACACTTTAGACACGAGTTTATGTTAATAGTTTAATAATGAGTCAAATGCGCGAAATAACTTCGCGCTAGCGTTATATCACTTATATACAATATTTTTTCTATAACTGAACCGATTGTTAATTAAATTTGCTGTTTAAGTTCAACTTTGTCATGTGTGCGAAATACTTTTTTATTATACCTGAATCACAATCTCCGTTTTAAACACTCAAATGCGTGCGAAAAAGGGCCTTTAAAACACACGTGCTTTAAAGTTGCTTAGTGACGATACTTCAAGTATTACTTTTGAAACTGTCATCTGGCGCTGAAATAAAAAATCTTCCTAGGTCGCTTTCTGTAAATGCAGAACATTTCTTTGGCTTGTACCTATCCTTTGATTGAAGCTTTCACAAACGCGCGTAATTTAGGGTATGCTTCCAAATCTGTTCCACTTTTTAATCGCAGCATTGTTTGAAGTTTTGAATGAATGCACCAAAAGATAGAAGATTTAAATACCTTTGACATTTCCTTCATATATGCCAGTATTATCGATGCATGTAAGACTATTCGTAAGTAACTTCATATGCATCCATGGAAACAACTTTTCATATTCATTATAATAGGCTTTACTGGATTTGGATTTTACACCTACCACCATTTGCTTAGATTTTACAACAAGCGATTTAATGAACGGTGTATTATCTTTTTCAACGGAAATCGTTTTATTCACAAAGACGATGATTTTTATAAGCAAGTGACGTTTCCATGGCAATCGTGAAATTACGAACACCCAGTCCACTTAATTAGACATGTATTCGAGTATAACGTTCCATTTATTTTTACCTTCTTGGGTACGTACTCTATCCAGTTTATATTATGTGTACTGCACAATTCGTCTCGAATATTCTGCTGTTGACTCGATCAAATTCCGCTTCGCGCCCGCTTGTTGTTGCATTGTATCCTTCTTGATATATTCAAGGGGGGCGGACAGCTAAGTAGATACAAAATTCAGGTATTTTATTGTCACATAAAATTGGCAAGGGAGCCGAGCTATGAGCGTGGTAGTAGCCTCTTTCATTACCATAACAATTAAATACTTACCGCTAAAAAATAATTTGGAGTTTATAATTACTGAACGTTTTGTAAAGCACGCAATTAACAGTACAGATGTTAATAATTACTACAAACCGCTCAGAAAAGCTGTATAATTAACCGCCTTTTGCGTGAGGTGTCTAATTCCGGAGCGATTGCAGGTAGCGTACGTATTTGCATGTTGCACGTTATGATAGAATCTCGTTGGCGGTTGAGCATGTTTCTCTAAGTAGCTAAGGCTAATTTTTCACACTTGGTTGAACCCAAAAATAACTTCATACCGATATGTATGACCGATAAACGAGGGCGTGTGCTTTACGTGTAGGTACGTTCAGGTGAACTAAGACTAAAGGTTGAAAATCATGAGCCCTTTTTGATGTTGCTTAGCAAGTTTCTTCTTGCATATTGCTCAAACACAATGCTGTTTGCGATTGGTAAGGTTGTTCAAACACTTTCAAAGTTGGACTTTTAAATGCTCTTAATGATTTTTAAAGAGACTTTAACATCCTCTTGGAAGCTCATTGAAGACTCTTCCATGCAGATTTTTAGACATAGGCCTAAAATCCTTTTGAAAACTTCGTATAGACTATTGAAAGCTTTTAAAAGCTGGCCACTTTTGAAAACTTTTAAATGCACTTACAGACCTTTACACCTCGTAAAAGGGAACTTAGATTCCGATATTAAACGCATACGCATACGATTTATTATGAAGTAAAATAAATAAAAATCCACGAGCAAACCGTACAATAATAATTATTCAAAAACAAAACAGACTTCAAATATATACTTAACAAACAAAAACGTTCTACAGAGTTTTCGGACAAACACATCATATTTGCCGAAAAGAATCCGCCTTCATTCCTTATTACTGGTGACTGGTGACTAATCCTTTATCGACCTGATGGCACACAGATGTCGCTCAAGATTTCTATAATTTTCGCCACACATTTTCAATTGGTGACAGTTCGGGTTATACTAGTAGATGAGCAAAGGGACTTCTAGATCAGGAAGTGACGTCACGCCAATGAGAATCGAGTATTGTGGTCACGTGGTGCGGTGTGAGCCAATGGGAGCGCGTGAGTCGGCCATTTTGTGACGTCACATTTTGCGTGTTTTGCTTCCGGTGTTTCTGGATCAGGAAACGCGTCACACCAATCAGAATGCAGTATCGGCCATTTTGTCTACGTCACATTTTGCGTGTTTTGCTTCCGGTGTTTCTGGATCAGGAAACGCGTCACACCAATCAGAATGCAGTATCGGCCATTTTGTTTACGGCGTCACACCAATCAGAATGCAGTATCGGCCATTTTGTTTACGTCATATCTAGGTTTCCCGCGTTTATTTCTGGACCAGGAAACGCATACTGCTGATTAGAATTTACCGGACGCTGCTTCCTGTTGACGTGAACGGATGTTGCTTCCTGTTCCCGCCATTTACGTTTCCTGCTGATTAGAATTTACCGGATGCTGCTTCCTGCCGATAATCGGATGTTGCTTCCTGTTCCCGCCATTTACGTTTCCTGCTGATTAGAATTTACCGGATGCTGCTTCCTGCCGATAATCGGATGTTGCTTCCTGTTCCCGCCATTTACGTTTCCTGTTGACGTGACCGGATGCTGCTTCCTGTTGACGTGACCGGACGCTGTTTCCTGCTGATTAGAATTTACCGGATGTAAGTTTCCTGTTAACATGAACGGATGCCCGTCGATACATGAATTACGAATCTACCGCTTTAGTCAACTGAGCTAAAAGGGGCGCGCGATTGCAGGGGCGTAGAGGGTCGCGTTAGATACTCACATATGAGCTACAGCTAACCCTACCTGCTATAGGTATAGAGTAACAGCGTGCGAAATTTAGTTGTTATTATAATTAGAATGGGAAGCTGCAATCTCGCGATAGTGTTTATTTATAGCAGCTATGATAAGACGCTTAAAGGTGTAATAACCATTTTATTTTAATTAATATAATAAATATCTACATATACAAAATGCTAGAAATTATGAAGCTACAAAGTTTTTTGTGTGCGCTCCGCCATAATACAATCTCTACAATAAATCATTAACGGCGCTGGACCATCGATGTGGGTGCGCTGCCATGGTTGATTCCAGTGTTTTGTACATCGTATTCGATTCCGCAGCTCACAATCTCTTTGAAATACGGTTGGAATCTTGATCCATATTTTCAATAAGTCATTTACACTTAAACTTAACAATTCGCTCTTCGTCTCAATATAATTAGACTCCTTTTGAGCCTCTCGCCTAGCGATGTTGTAAAGTATTCGATCCATTATCGTTCGATATGAGGACCGAAATGAACATTAGCATCCCCGTTTTATACCTACACCTTTAAGATACACTGCGCATGATGGATTTCTTCAAATCCCCTCCAGAAGTACTTTTAAGAGCAGGTATAAGAGTAATAAGAAAGTAAAAAATCGATTTATATCGAGATGAGTGCACAAATACAGCAACAATCGCAAGATTCGTGGGGTAGCGAAGATGATGCAAAGTCATCACTTTCGCTGGATAAATTATCGGTGAATGAATCCTCGAAAGAGGAGCAAGGTATGCATTGAATAACGCCGATTATTGTGGAAGCAAAAGATGTATGTTTATAGGAAAGGAAACCTTAATATCTTCGTGGTCGTTATTCTTAGACGGAGGCATTATTCTCGAAGTTGGCGTTACACTGGACGAGTACTTTTTCGATTCCATCGTGCAAATATCATGTCCTCCGCATTATGATGACCAGTATTTACAATTTGAGCGTTGCGAATGGAAAGAAATATTCAATTTTAAAACTGAACACTTAATTAAACATATGGTGCAGTGTACGCCTAAAAGAAGGAGCAAGCATGAAATTTTTACCGAGTCCAAAATAATAATACTTGAAGCGGAAGAAGAAGAAGACGGCGGATGTATTCGAATAAGCGAATCAGATAAATCTATAATATTTTCCAAGCAAGCAATCGATATGATATTTATCGCTTCCGAAGTAATTACTCAAAAATTGGATGTTGCCAACCACTATGCGATGTATTGTCTTTATGATGACTTTACGCGTGAGGTTGCAAAAATTCTACATACCGAAGGTGTTACTAGCGAAGAGAGCATTTTATCGAGAGGGAAATTGATATGCCAAAATCTCAAATTGTTAACATCGCTAAGCAGTTGGAAGGAAAAGTATGATAATTTGCAAGACTTGACTCTTCTAACAGAAATTGTAAACATTCACCCTCGAAAATTTATAAATACGGTTGTTAGTAAAATTAGCATGTTAAAATAAATAATTTTTTAACATAAAAATGCTTTTTATTTATTCATAGGTATGGATACACATCAACTTATTATCCACCTAATGCCGCATATACAATTCAATATGTTTATCAAACTTTAAAAGTTTAGCTAATACATTATATAATTGCTCCAATACGCCTTTATTAGCACAATGAATATTGAATAAGGATAGATCAATGTCACCTGATTGAATTACACGACCTGTATATTCACTATATTTATGAAATTTATTTCCGGTGATAAAGTATAGGTATCCATCCATGTATTTGAATATAGAAGTTATCTTAGCCGGAATATCCGGAAAGGTTTCCGCATATATTAAGCGATTTTTAGGCCGATGACTACAATCATCCAAATCTAGCAGTTCATTTGCACCATGATAAATAAGCGTGCGTCCGGTATAGGTGTTAACTGCAGCATTCACTTTATGGCTGTTGGGAATTGTGAAGTGGCTATAAGGTTGAGGCCATCCTGGTAGCAGTTGCAGACTAGGGAATTGCACTATGTATATGCGACCGCCACTAAAGAAGACAACATCACCGTTAGGCTTTTGATATACCGCTTCCAAACGTTTAAAAGATGCCGGAAGAAACGTTAACCACTCAAGCAGATTCTTGGCAGGTTCCACTTTGCTGCTGTTTAACGCCGATATCCAAACCCAATGTTCATAAAACATATAAAGTCGTTTGTTTAGAATCAAAAAGTGTTCGATTTGAATGGTACACAGGTCAGGTGGTTTAATGGTCTTGCGAGTAGTAGTCTTGGGAGTAGGTGTAGTTGTCTTAATACGCGTTGAAAGATGATAAGTTTTATTCTCTGGTGAAGGGGTACCAGCAGTATCACTAGGATATAGTGCTCGGATTCCAGCTATATCATCCTCATGTAGCGTGATCATATTTGAATTGTAATAAGGAAACATGAGTGCATTTTCATCGCTCGAATGGTGTAATCCGAGAGTATGACCTATTTCGTGTAAGACAACTTGGAAATAACTAGAATAACCGGGGGGAGGTGCATTTGCATCTGCTACATGCCAGCGTTCTTCCCAATCTATATGCATTTCAACAACATTCTGATCTCTGGAGGGAAAGTATGCATGGGCTAATACATTGCCCAATCCATCAAACTCGAATGCACATTGCGGATATGGTGGTGAAGCGAACTCATGCTTTCGGGTATGAAATGATATTAATATGTCTGGGTTCCTTGAGCTATATTTGAATTTCAAATTTGTGTGGTTCGCCCAAACTTGAAATGCTTTATCCGTCATCTGTAAAATGTGCAGGTCATGCATATTGGAAATATAGTAAATCAAAGTCTGTTTTGTCCATTTATACCGATGAGTCATATACGCTGCTGGGTCATCAATATTTCCGCATCTAGGTCGAGACATGAGTTGTAATGTTTCGGCATTTAATCTGCCATCACTAGGTAGTTTATAGAGTTCTTGAAATTTCTTTAAAGCGTTAACGGTGATATTTGTACGATTATCTTGAGTTGATTCACCTTCACCAGGCTCCTTTATATATCCATATTTGGTGAGATGACTATATGCCATATCGATTTCACGCTCACTGATTGTATCGCTGCCGTCGTCAACATTATCAGCAGCAGCAGCAGCAGCATTAGCACTAATACAGAAAAACCAGCTCAGTACGACAACTGCAGCTTGCATGATTGTAAAATCTATACTGATTCAAAATTTTCTTTTGGAGGACTAATAAGGATGTGGTAGTGGGGGAATATATTGAAATGAATTAAAAATTAGGTTATAAATACTTAATCCTCTCTCAACGACATAATGGTGCAGACTGTAATCGATGTACAAGGCTTTAAAACATCAAGAAACGTATTTATACCAAAAGAACTGGCGATTTATAATGGCAAGCAGGTTGCTCATTTTATGTTCAGGCCTCCATTTCCGTGGAATAGCTTATCTACCGATTTACAACGGCAAGCTACCTGGCTAATTCATAACCATCACGGAATTAAATGGGAGCATGGTCATACGCCATCCTACATGTTTCCAATTATACTTCGCCAGTTAATATCATCATCAGACCAAATATACGTTAAAGGAAAAGAAAAAGCCGATTTCATTCGAAAAACTCTATCGCAAAATGTCACCGAGGTGGAAGAAGAACCAGCTCTACCTAAATTAGAAGCATGTTGCTACTATCATGTGCGCTCACTTTGTTGTTGCGCTTTATCTAACGTTTATTATATTTATAATACTCATGTAATTCAGTAATTTTTTTTAAATAAAACAACCAAATTCAATCATTTTTACTTTATTGCAATTGATACATCTTAATACGATTACATAATATGGGCTCCAAAACAGCTGCAATGCGTTCTATTTTACATTTGAAGCGGTACCTATCTAATGCGACAGTTTCCCACGGACCCTTTCTTGCTTCTCTGTGAGCATAGGACCAAACTCGCAAGATATAAATTTTATTTTTTGATTCGTCAAAACTGACACTCTTCATTTATATAAAGTTTAATTACACTTTTACGTGAACTATAATTAAGTTTTGCGTACGATGCCGGTGAACGGTTCATACTCGATTAATGCATCATGTAAAATAACGCAGTAAGCGATAGTTTCATTTGCAAATGCAGATGATGCTTCAACTTCCAGCTTCAAATCGATCACCACGTTATGGACGCTCTCGTTTTGACGGGTGCAATTGATAATGAAGATAGGCTGCTTTTCGAACTCTTTGTAGCTAAGAAGGGAGCTCTCCTGCGACGAGTCGTAATATTGATTACGAAAGTTTAAATATTCTTCGTAAGCATCCACATACTTGTTATCGGTAAAAACCAGATTTTGCTGCTCATACGGATATCTTCGGTTGTTAATGTTTGCTTTTATATTGGAAATGCTTAAATGGTTAAACTCGCTCGCATCTGCTTCTTTGTTATTTCGCTTCCTAGTTTGGAACGCAATCAGTAGCCATTGAGGCCGTTGAAAACCGGTGCTGCTTTTTACCGACCAAACCAATGATCTGGTGCTGGGTAAGGTTGGGTATACGTAAAGGTCGCGCGCATGAAACGCCACTTGTATCGGCGAATTCTTGTTAATCCTCCCGTAGATCGATAACTTCATAGCATCGTTAGGAATTATGTACGGAACTTTCCATGTTACCTTCGTAAGATTAATCTTAACTTCAGTCTCGCCTTTATAGCAATCACTATCGTCCTTGGAACGAATTAATATCAGTTCTTGACGGATGTTGACTAGAGGCTTCCTGTATCCTTCGGCAAACCCGAGTACATGCTTTAGAGGTATGGAAGCGCAGAAAGCCGTCTTCGTGCTATTTAGTATCTGAGGAGACCCGGAAGGGCTCCAACCTGCATGCGATAAGCATCTGCTTTGATCTGATGTGTATGAGCAAAACCCCTTGATGGTGCTGTTTATTCCGGGTAATCGAACAGTTTCTATCACCTGATCACCCAAAATAAACCTAATTTCGTCGAAGAGAAAGAGCGGCGCGTTGTTGGTGAAATCGTAAGCTTTATTTGCGGTAGTCGGATTCAGCGTTCCTTCTAAATATATAACGCTATCGTAGGTGGCCGTGATGAGATCCGCTTTCTGTATGACGAGATTAATCTCATCGGAGTTACCATAAGCGTTTGTCGTATAAGGATGGTATGTTCTGCGATCGCATTCCACGATCATGTCTTCATACTTTACGCCCGTGAATAGGTTTTTTAATGCTTCTTCCATCTTTTCTTAGTACTGTATAGCCGAGATATTGCAAAAACTGTACGTCGTCTTCGGTTAATGCACCGTGAGCAATTGTTGCGTCGATGGCCGACGATGGATGACTAAATGAAGAACCTTGCTTACAGAAAATTTTAAGTCCCATATTTTTTCAGCTCCAATCGAATAGTCACTCTTTCTTCGCCGAAATCTACTAAATGACCGTCTTGATCGACTAACCTCAAGGTTATGTTATCTATTTGATGCGCGAGTACCGGTAAATATATAATCGTAGCCGGCTCCTTGATTAACTTATAGCCCGGCTCAACGTGTACGTCAAATTCAAAGATTGTATGAGATAGCGCACTGTTTCTGTATGCTCCACCCGTTAGATTACACTCGACGTGTATATTAGTAGCGTTGATTATTTGCACGTCCAGATCAGATTCATGGGTTCTACCTCCTTTATACAATTTAGGAGAGAAACCGAGCATGCGACCGATGGAGTTCGATTTCCTAAAGTCAATATCGTGTATGGTTTTCATTTCGCATTTTAGCGTATTATTATTAGGTCTCAACATAAAGTCCATCGAATTGGTTGGTTCGTTTATATGATGCTGTAGAATCCTGTTGATCTCTTCAATTTCATACGCGCCACTCGGAATGGTAATCTCTTTGAAGATGCTATCGGCCGCTGCATAGTAAAATTTGTTGTTTCCCTCAAATATATTGCGTATAGAATTACAGCCGTAAAAGCCAACCAACCCTAATCCATATTGATAATTGCGGTCTAGTTCGATCGGCGGAAAATATGAGGTGCTGAGGACGTTGCCGGCACCTGTTAAGGTGAACGTTTGAGACATGACTGATGAAGTAAACAAACTCTAGGTTCAATTATTATTTATTATACAGAAAATTTAAACATAAATGTCCACATATCAGCGTATTATAATTTTGCTCCCTAGTATAATTGTATATGATGTTGCATCCGGATAAATATTTAACTATTTCTATTGGTGGCGTCAAGTCGCCGAAGCTATCATAGTAAACTGCCTTCATGCCGCGTTTCTTGAAAGCAACCCAATGCGTACCTCTTCCTTTAGCATCATCCAGGTTTACGATAGCGCACTCGTTTAAATGGGGTTTTCGCGGTAATTTATCACGCATAAACACTCCTCTGAAGAAGGGTACGTCTTTCGCATACTTTACAAGATCCGAGTCCGTTAATGCTTTTCGCGGCAAATTTAAAAGTTTTTTGCCGGATATGGTTTTAAATATAAGGCGTATCCAGTCTTACGCGGTTGAAGATACAGCGAACTGCCTTGTTTACCCAACGAGGCGGCCTCCATTGCCATGTTATGCCGTTTATTTTCCTCCAGCTGCTTCTTCGCGGCCGACGCATCGTTAATTGCTTTAGCTATACCGCTAGCTCCACCGGCCATTGCGCCCGCAGCTGAAAGACCGGCAAAGAGCGGTACTAGGAACGGAAGAAAACCTCCGACTTTAGGTATTGGTATCACTCGCGGCACTCTCACTCTTTGCTTACCGCCTGCAGCTTTAACCGCTTTCTTGGCGGCCAACAAACTTATTTTGATAAGTTTATTCAAGTTTGCCGATGATGATAGGCCTTTTATTGAATTTCGAATTGGCGTTAAAACTCCGCCTCTAAACGAACAAGTCTTCTTCTTTTTCCCGCGCTTTGCGATACGTCGTGTTACTCCCATGCCAAGCTTCCTTTTGGCCTTCATTGCTCCAGCTACGGCTAATGCTGCTGCTTTCTCTCCAAAACTAGCGTCCTTTGCCTTTACACGATCCCAAGCTCGAATTTGAAGTTCTTTATCGGCCCGATGACGATTCTCAACGTCTTTGAATTGATTGTATGCGATGTCGTGTTGCTTGCATGCAGCGTCCAACTGATTTATTCCTTGATCACCCCGAGCTAGACGCTGCTGTAGTTTGGTTCCCGGTCCGCAGTATTGATATCCGGGGATATGAAGTTCCACCGGCAATTTGTTTATCAAGCTGTTTATAAACCCCTTTCCTACTCGGCGATCGGCCATGAACTGATCAGTATAACTCAAACTATCGAGTAATAATGAAGTTTATGAAGCAACCTCAGCAATTGCATGTTGAGGATCATGATTTGTATACTGAATCGGAAGTGTCGGGGAAACACGGCTCATTATTTCCGGCTTCAATTAGAGCGGTCATCTGTGGACCATCGGGATCCGGAAAAACGAATGCGATGATAAGTTTATTAGAAGCAGCGAATGGTCTGAAGTTTGAAAATGTATATGTATACTCCAAGTCGTTAGAGCAGCCGAAGTATAAATATCTGGAACAAGTACTTAAACCCATTAAAGGCATTAAGTATAATGCTTATAGTGATAAGGATGACGTAATAACTCTAGAGGAGATTAGCAAAAATTCGATAATGATATTTGACGATGTTGCGTGTCTAAATCAAGATATAATTAGGGATTATTTCTGCAGAGGACGACATTCTGGTGTGGACTCGTTCTATCTTTGTCAGACATATTCCAAAATACCTAAGCAGCTAATACGCGATAATGTAAACGTTATTGTCCTATTTAAGCAAGACTATATAAATTTGAAACATGTATATGATGAGCATGTTGGTAGCGACATGACCTTTGAGCAGTTTAAATTAATGGGCTCAAAGTGTTGGATGCATAAGCACGATTTCATGTGTATTGTAAAGGACTTTGATTATGGCCGATATCGACGAGGTTTTGATTGTTATATCGCACTTGGACAACTTTGAACTACTGTTGAACAGCATCATTGAACCGGTGTGGACAGCTTTGAACCAATTTTGGACCGCCTCTGAACCGCTTATGAAACGCTTTCGAACTGCTTTGAACCGGTTTTGGACAGCTTTGAACCGATGTTGGACCGCTATGAACCGCCTTTGGACCGCCTCTGAACCGCTTATGAACCGCTTTCGAGCTGTTTTGAACCGGTTTTGGACAGCTTTGAACCGATGTTGGACCGCTATTGAACAGCTTTTGATTGCTACGAACCGTTTTTGCACCGATATGAACCGCCTTTGGACTGCTATTAGAAGCACTTTTCATCGATAATCAGTTTAGTTGATTGTATGCGGGCCGTTAAGATGAACGCGCAAGATCAGGCAATTAAAAGAAAATTAACTAAAACCCGTAGCGAAATAAAACGCAAGCTTGCGGCTCTTAAAAGAGGCGAAACCGAAACATTGCGATTAGTGGAAGAGACTTATAAGCCTATAGTTGACCCATTGAAGACGCTAGCTAAGCAGGAGTTGAAAAAACAAGCGTTAACGCCAAAATTTGAAAATAAAATTGAATATGAATCAACTCCAATGCAAGAACAATTTGCAACGCCTCGACGCACCGAAAATACTGCAGTTCGTAAACGAATTAGTTTTCCGCCCGATATTAGCGAAATAGCGCTTGACGAAGAAGAAAACGATGAAGCGGTGGAAACTACTAGATCGATTAGCAACTTATCACAGCTACATGATGATCAGCAATTTTTAGACCAGTATCATCATTTACCTCGCCATTATATCGACCGGATGATTAAGGATGCAACGGGAGAGGTCGATCACGTTCACGGACTTCGATACGATTCCGAATTCAAAGAGTGGGCTATAGGAGATTCTATAGTGCAGTTTGAAGGGCCCGATATAAACATAAAAAATACACTTTATACCGGCACTCCTGGGCTATATGAATTGCTCGTGCTTAAAAAGCCGCATAATTACTCCTTCAAGGATAGTCAATCGTATAAAGATATTTTATTAGCTACTAACGCATACAAAAGGAACTACGATCCTAGACAACAAATCATGGGTACTAAGTCGCATAAATACGTTAATATCGTGAAGCCGCTACTATCGGAACATTTTGGAGCAGGTGTGAAGGAGGTTAATAATAAACAGAAGGAGTACGTGTACTGGAATACTCCCCACGAACTAGTCGAGCGTCTCAGACTGTTACACGCATCGCAAGCAGCCGGTCATACCGGACACAACAACGAGATTTTAAGCATTGAAGAGGAGCTCCGAGAAGAAGGTATAATTGCTTAGTCCGAAAATGAGCGTTGACAAATTCGGAAGACATTCGTCCTCAAGATTATATAACGAACAGAATACCTTGCAATTTACCGCTGCTAATGATTATGATATGCAAAACAAGAGAATATGTAATGTTGCCGATCCTGCTAAGGGTAGCGATGTTGCTACAAAACAATATGTGGATAATAGTACTCGGAACGCCGCAAGCCAACAATATGATATGCGTGGTAATCGGCTAACCCATCTAGCTGATCCGGTGAACGATGGCGATGCCGTAACAAATGGATACCTACACATGTTTGTAAAATCGTTTAAGTCAATCACCGATGGTCATATGAATGTCATGCATGAAATGGAGCGCAACTTGGATGAAATTCGCGAAAAACTAGGGATGAGTCCGGTGACAGACTTTGCCGCATTGACTATGCGTGAATCTCCGCCATTTATCGGTAGTGATTTGGAAGATGACGAAGCTCGGCGTCGTCGAGGAATTGCACAGATCGGCGAGAAAAAATTTTCCTCGAAAAAGAACGATAATCAAGCATCGTGATGACCTATGGCAAGCTGATTTGGCCGAATTCACGCGATATTCTAAAGATAATCGAGGTTATAAATATATATTAACCGTAATTGATTGCTACTCCAAATACCTATGGACGCGACCCTTAAAATCGAAGAATGCTAGTGAAGTGAGCAAAAACATGACCGCTATTATGTGCGAAGGAAGAGTGCCAGTCAATTTACAAACCGATCAAGGAAAAGAATTCTATAATAAGGATTTTGAAAAGTTAATGCTGAAACATACCATCAATCATTACTCTACGTATAGCGTAAAGAAAGCGGCCATAGTTGAAAGAGTGATAAAAACTTTCAAAAATGCATTATATAAGCGGTTCAGTCTTCGCGGAAGATATAAATGGATTGATGTGCTAGCGGAAGTGACTTTAGGCTATAATAATACGAGACATTCGACTATTAAGATGAAGCCTAAAGATGTAGCTGCAAAGACATACTTACCAATGTTCCATAATATAAAGATAATGGGACCAGCTAAATTCAAAATTGGTGACGTTGTACGAATATCCAAGTATAAATCGGTGTTTTCAAAAGGCTACACTCCGAACTTTTCTACCGAATTATTCAAGGTGGTTAAAGTAAAAGTTGGCAATCCCGTTACGTACTTATTGGAGGATTCATTTGGTAAACCAATAATGGGGCAATTCTACGCGGAAGAAATGCAGAAAACTGCTCATCCGGATATATTTCTTGTTGAGAAAGTGTTACGTCGTAAAGGAGACCAGCTCTACGTTCGATGGCTTGGCATGGATAAATCACATGACTCGTGGATTAAAAAATCAGATTTAGTATAATCTTTATTAGATTTATTATGCAAATGTATTTTACAAATATATTGATAAACAGCCATGCTATAACTGCATATAACTGTACAATTTTTTTTATACTTATATTAATAAATACAATGTTATGAATAGACTACTTATTCTAATTCCATTTGAATGGGAATGTTAAAATGTCCCCAAGGCAGCGTATCGATCTGATTAGGTAGTGTATATCTCTTATCATCGTTATTGTATAAAGCAATTTTAGTTTGCTCTACGCTATACACTTTATGGTTTTTTGAAATTATGCTGCTTTGGGAAACGATTTTAACGTCCTGGTTCTTTAAACACTTTAAATAATCATTAAAAGTTATTCTATTCTTTACAATATTAGTCTTTACACCTTTCAATTTCTTAACATCACAATCCCTAGTCCTAAAGCTATACATTTTTGATGCCAAGGCCACCCACTCGGTTATCACTTTACCGCTCATTTCATCTTTCATTAAACCGATCACCTTAGCATTACATCTGGGGATGTTAAATTCATTGTTTTCAACAAAATCAGACGTGTCAAATCGCTCGATATTGTTTCGAATCAGATCATACACGTCATCACACATTAACTCATATACGAGGCTATCGGTATCCATGTACAAGAGTTTCATGCAATCATCATCAAATTGCCGCTGCATAAAATTATAGTGAAAATCATACATTAAGGTTTTAGAAATATCGAGAATAGCCATTCCCACATAGAGTGGTTTATTCATCATAATTTCCACCTTAGATAGCTCGATAGCCATCAATTCTTCATCAAAAATTTCCCTACTGCAAAAATTAGGCTGGGAAAGGTAATAATTGGCTCCATATCTGCCATTCCAACGAGTAACGAGTTTTATATTTCGATGGTTTCTCACGTTCTCCATCGTCTTTCCGAAATTAGCATTGTTTAGCAATTTATATAAATTTTTTTCAAACGGATTACTAGCTCGTGCTCGCAACCTTGTATTCAAATCTATATACGGTTTAAGCCAACGAGACTGGTTGAAGCTTATCGCGCGATGGATTTTTTCAAGCACAAGTCCTGCTTGCAGACACTGTTTTAAATTACGATAGTGAATCACGTATTTGGATTTAGATGTTAAGGTTGCGAGCAGTTTCACATGTTTACCACCAGGAGGTTTACTATGTTCAACGCAAAATGGTATGTACTTATGTCGATTATGCAAATGCTGCGGATATGTTAAATCTACCTCTAATATTAGACCTTCATTTGCGTCATCAGGTAGTTTCATTAAGGTTTCGGTTGTTAATGATTTTATTTTTGATTCGCTAAGCCATTTAAAATTATTTTGGGGTAGACATTGGCTTTGAGCCCAACCATACAAATTCACCATATCCGTGTAAAGGATGTGAGATGAAGGTTTCCTCGCATCATAATTTTCCATATATTTATTGTTTGCTTTACTATATTTCGTACAACACTGCGTTATCCCACCTCTTATACCCTTTTCCATGAATAGTATCATATCTATATCAGACAAAAGGTCTAATTTCACTTTTGTATAGTAAAGCATGCATTGCCATGTATACCCCGGAGCAGTAAAAAAGAATGCAGGTTCTAGCTTATGCGTTGTAATGCATTTTTCGCGAAAATTCGTAAATACATCGCTTAGCAAAAGCACATCCGTTATCAAATAAAGATCGCTGTATTGACCTAAATTTTGAATGTTGAATTTCCGCCAAACGTTTTGCGCATGCATGTATTCTGATTCAGGAATGTCCGTTTGAGATAACTTGCTATAAAATTTCTCTTTTGCTGGAAGTGATGTTTCTTCGAATTTCGCCCACTCATTCATATATTCATATGGATAAACGCCTTTTCTGATAAGCAACTTTAATTGCTCCTCGCTTAAATGGTTTAACGTGCTGCGTAAAATTTTAAAATCGTCAAATTTCAAATATGAAGATAACTTGTCTAATGATTCGTTCATAAAACGATATGAATCTACAAATCTGAATTGTATGTCCGTGTCTTTCATATATTTGGTAAACGATATGTAACGTTCTTTATTTTTAGGAAGTAGCGTAACTCTGCCTGGAATAGCTTGAGCGATATTTTTTATAATAAAATGGCTATCATATCCGCTGAAATTATGAAAGAATATTGGAATCATGTGGGGGGCCTTATATTGAAGATTACACTTCTGGTGGGCCGCCCCCCTCCAATTTCCGGTCCCGAAGTGAGAGTGATCCCTGACCTTGACCTCCCCCTCCAATATTGGGCTTTCGCAAATATGACAATGAGTAGCTGCATTATATGCCAGCATTTCTATATCGGTTAAGGGTTTCATTGGCATTGGAGTATCAAAATATTGTTGTAAGTTGCCTGCAATTTTGACTAATTCGCTTGTAAACCAATTAATACAGTCCTCACCTCTCTTTATTTGAAGTTTTGATAAAGAATTGTCAAATGTACAATGAAGATAATATGCAATGCTGCACACATTATGCTCTTTATATTTAACCGTGTTGCGCGTCTCATCTTCCTGATATTCTTGAACTAAACATTCCAAGTCGCAATACATGATGAAAGGAGCGGTCTGTTTAAATTGATAGTCTTTAAAATTAACCGTTGTGCCGGGCTTTGGTGTATTTAATCTACATTTATTCATCTGCTTACAATCTATTTCATGTTTGCTCAATTTGGTTTCAGAATTAAAATAGTGGAGGCACCTATCACATATGAATAGTTTTTTGTGATTCTTCGTTAATTGTGAATGCGCCAATCTGGATAAATCTTTTATCCAGCAAAAGTGAAATTTTACAGCCACATCATAGCGATGATCATCAACGATACGATCAACGTTACCTTCGATTTCGTAATCGTCTTGTATCATTAGCAAATTTACATGACGTTCTTTTTTATCAGAGGTTAAATACAAAGGAGCCGTGATGTAATTCGAAACAGATTTTCGGATGAGACCATAAATGTTAAGAGATAAGTTGGGATTTTGTTTTTCAAATTTAGGAATTTGTTCAAGGGTCATTGGAAAAGTGATGTTTTCGAAATTTAAGATTTGAGCATAATAGGGATATGAGGAAACACGATCGGAATGTTTTGACAAGGGGAAAAGCGCTGAAGATAGGGCCCATCCGAAACAAGCCTCATCGTTGTTTTTAACGTTGATGACCGCCTGCTTCGACTTGATTTCATTAGGCAACTCGATGTAGGATGACGCTCTTATTAGAGTCGCACTATTGGCATTCACACTTAACGAAATAATCTTAGATAAGGCCCAACCACTTTCCTGTTCTTCAAAATCAAGCAGACGCCGCATTAAATAATCTACGACGTTACAATTAAACAGTTGCTTTAAGTTTTGTTCTTCTAAATTACAACTTAAAATAGTAAAATTTTTGGTTAAGAAAGTAAATTCTCTAGATACTAAATCTTGGTCGTTGTTTGGGACAGGTTTAACAAATTCGGCACAAAACTCAAAATTTAATTTTAGCGGATGGTTGTATTGACTAAATATATCCTTGATTTTCTTTGAAAATATTTGAAAACAATCATGGAAAAATGTGCCTAGCGTTTTATGTCCTAAATTGATAATAATGCCGGTGCTCACCCTCGACTTGAAGGCTGTAGTCAAATCCCTCCACTCTACATTTTTCTTTTCTTCCTCAAGCGATGTGCCGGTTATAGGTTTACCCATTTCACTGATCAGCAACTTGTAGCGCTCCATTTTACCAGCTACCGCCGCAAGATGTCGTTTATCTCCAATCGATATTGCACCTCCTAACGCAAGTTTGATATGCTTGATATTAATGTTGATAATATTGATAAACTTTAGAATTTTGTCTGCATCACTCGGATTATAGTGTTTGTAAAAATGCTCAACCATTTGGAGCGATGCGTTGATATTTTCAATAATCGAGGACATTTTCAAATATATATCGTTACACCACCCGTATGCACTTAGACATGCGACTGAACGCCGATCGCCACTCAAGCTACTTTTATACCTAAACACTCGTCAACGTCATTAACGTTTTTAGCGGGAAATAAATAACAACATATATCACATTAAACTTTATTTTCAAAAATATATTATTTTATTTCTACTAATTTCAATGCATTATTGGTAGATAGTCCATTCATCACCACTCCCAGCTTTACTTTATTTAATCGATCGACCATTTCATCGTCCATTTCTCGCACCATGCGCTGAGGAAGGAAAATAGAAATATTATCGACAATTTCGCACACTATTCCACGTCCATAGGAACTGATTATCGCCTTCATTCGTTCGATTTCATAAATTTTGCCTACTTCCATATCTCCACGTTTAATGATAGTTCTTTCCACTGCATTTCCGCTACTGTTAATTTTCAGCAAATCAGCATTCATTGTTGTGATGTTCGATGTATGTATGTCAATCTGTATATGCATAAACATACGCATACTCACTCTTATATATTAAACATCCCTCCTAGAAACATCCTAATTGGTAGGAAGTGTAAATGGCGGGAACAGGAAGCAGCATCCGGTCACGTCAACAGGAAGCAGCATCCGGTAAATTCTAATCAGCAGGAAACGTAAATGGCGGGAACAGGAAGCAGCATCCGGTCATCGGCAGGAAGCAGCATCCGGTAAATTCTAATCAGCAGGAAACAGCGTCCGGTCGTTAACAGGAAACTAACATCCGTTCATGTTAACAGGAAGCAGCATCCGGTAAATTCTAATCAGCAGGAAACAGCGTCCGGTCACGTCAACAGGAAACTAACATCCGCTGTTGTAAACAGGATATCCTAATCAGCAGGATATGCTAATCAGTAGGAAAGTAGGTATATATACCGTTTAAGGAAACTATGCTGAAGTTACAATTATAATGGAGAACATCAATGATGTTATATTCGATGATGAGTTATTTGAAGTACTACAGGCCGATATCGCAAGAAGCCAGCAAGATAGGATACAGCAGCGAAGACGGGAGGAACGAGAGCGTTTTGTACAAACCTTAAAAAATGCGCAAAGTGACCTAGTAATTGAATTGGAAAATATAAAAGTGAAATAGAAGAGGATGATGAAGCTTTTAATAATTTGTTACAAAAATATAATCAATTTGCATAATAAATATATTAATTTTTTTTTATTATTTATGCCTGAAACTCTTCAAACTATTGCATCCGATGTAGCATACTCCACTAGGAATATAATATCATTGATGTACTCCATTATAATTGTAACTTCAACACATCTAGCATTACATTTTGTATAATATTATGTAGGTATTTATTACATGCATTAAAATAAAATGGTTATTACACCTTTAAAAGTCTTATCATATCTGCTATAAATAAACACTATTGCGAGATTGCAACTTCCCATCCTAATTATAAGCTCAATTGACTAAAGCGGCAGATTCGTAATTCACGTATCGATGGTTCAAATCCTCGACGCCGCCTATGACGCGTTTCCTGGTCCCGAAATAAACGCGGGAAACCTAGATATGACGTAAACAAAATGGCCGATACTGCATTCTGATTGGTGTGACGCCGTAAACAAAATGGCCGATACTGCATTCTGATTGGTGTGACGCCGTAAACAAAATGGCCGATACTGCATTCTGATTGGTGTGACGCGTTTCCTGATCCAACCCAAAATGTGACGTAGACAAAATGGCCGACCGAAATACTCGATTCTGATTGGTGTGACGCGTTTCCTGGTCTAGATCCCCCCGGACGCAAAACATCCAAAATGTGACGTAGACAAAATGGCCGATACTGCATTCTGATTGGCTCACACGTGACCACGTGACCGAAATACTCGATTCTGATTGGTGTGACGTCACTTCCTGGTCCCGTACGTACATTGCTCATCTACTTTCACATAATTTTGTCAGCCGGCAATTTTACTCAAACGTTTATAAATAAACCCGTGCGCTTCCATGTGTTGAGAGACAAGCTATTAGCATTCCTCTCGTAAAACCGACAAGAATTTTACAGTTTGTAAAAAGCACATTTATTTTCTTGTACATTCAATAAATTTTGTTGAACAAACTAAATAACTACCCACATATTTTAACAGGAATTCTTTGGAGATGGTAAATGGTTACAATTTATTATGGGTAATTTTTTCAAAATATCTTTAAATTTGCATTTTTAAGTGAAATATTTTTATACAATATAAAAATTCGCTACTTAATAAAGAAATCTATCGCATTAAATTTGTGTAATATCATGTGACACTAGCTAGGTTTCTACTTGTAGGTAAATTTTTATAATTACAATATGTATAAAATAGTGCTTCCATTGCATCCCGTCAATTTTTCCCAAAGCTCCTAAAACACTAGCAGCGTTTCCTCGCTGTATAGCAATGCTGATATCTTATGGCAGGTATTTTGTAGGCGGAGGAACACCAGATTTCTTTTTAGCGTATTTCCTCAAAGTGAAAAATCGCTTTTGGCTGCACTTTGTCGTCCGTCCGTCCGTCACACGTACTCCTATAACACCACTGAACCGATTTGGGCGATACAGGGCTTGTTTAAAGGGTTTGTCTAAAAGGGTTCCTAAATTTGCAGAAGGTAAATCATCTAACCATGCACCAGATTCATGTTCAGATGTAGCAAGTAAATAAATAAGTTTTCGTTTATTTTCGCACTGCCTTAATTTTTACTTTATATAATTTTTACTTTTTAGCGCATTTTTTAAGAATTAAAAAAAATGTGCTGAATTTTTTGCAGTAGGTAGCCTATACCTTGAAGGTCTGCCGGACGGCCATCAAATTTCGCTGTCTAAAAGCCCCCCCCCCCCACCAATTATTTTCTGAGATGCTGTTTTTGAAAGTAAAACGTGCATAACTTTTACATACAACCAATTGGTCTCAGATTTTGCATACGCATGCCTTTAGTGGTGCCAAGTTAAACTTTGGAATATGTTCTACCCTTCATGGTATTTTAATGAAAGGTCCCATGGAAATAAATTGGTTTGTACAAACTATAACTTTCCCGTGCGACTCTTTTTCGAGATCAGTGAGCGACGGGGCCTAAAATGGGGAGGGGGTCAAAATTAATTTTATCTCTCATTTTATTCTAATTAAAGATCTCGACGAAAGGAACCGTTTTCTACCAACTACTGCCCTTCATTCTGTCCTCTTATCAAAGTACGGGGTGGTGAGGGAAGAGAGAGTGGAACTAGTTTTATCCTTCATTGGCACTCTAATGAAAGGTCTCAACGAAAGTAATTACTTTCTACCCCTCCTCCTCGACCTCTTATCGTGATCAGGTATATTCCCTTATACCTCAAGAACGGATTGTCGGAAGAGAGTACTCACAACGGATGATTGAGACGTCTGCAAGAAATATATCCATTGGTGATGTCAAAACGAAAGCTATTTCTGTTAAAAAAATGCACTTTATCTGCACAAGAGTTGTGCACAATTTATACTTGTTTGTTGTGTTTGCAGTATTGTTTCTAGGTTGGAATAAATATTATTATTATTAGTTATTCACTTTACAGTTTACTGGAAAATAAAAGGAATGGAGGAATGAATAGATTTATTTCAACCAACAATAGAAAATATCCACTTATAAAATTGCTTGGAATATATGACCAATTTATTTAGAAGCCCATCTCCAACAATGCAATTTCTGACTGCTGGAAAACTAAATGGGCAGAATCACGAGTGTGCAGATGTGTGGGTGGTATCTGTGCTAGCCACAGTAATTTTTTTTGTGGTACTTCGGGCGAAAACGTTCCTCCAACACACATCAGAAAAAAATATAAATCAAATCGCTAAATTTCGGTTTTTCTGGCATATCTTCGGAAGTAATCGGAAATTTCTGGTTTTCTTTAAAGCATGATAATAAATGTTTAATTGAGCAACTTTTCCCTAATTTGACCATTGTCGTATCTTCTATGGTTTCGGAGACATCTTGGATACAGTGTATATTTACTTTTTGTGATGTTCATAATATTATGGATTATCAATCTGTTGAACAATAAACATTACTGATTTCTAATTACTGATGAGAGAAATTCAAGTAAAATTAATTTCCACTCTGTGGTACCACCATCTTATTGAACTTAAACAATATTGCACGAAGACAGCTATTACCTACCTTTGATTTTTCACAAGAGCAAACATTCTTTAAATGTTACAAGGATTTCATCATTTAGGCAGACTTCAAATTTGCATTCCCCACTTTTCATATTCCGTATAGATAATGGAGATCCAAAACACAAATTTATTTACCTATTTATTTATTATTCCTCTCTTGTTCTGGGCCCTCAACAGGCTTGCGTCCAATTACAGAGTGACCCGCATAATGCTTTTTAGAGGTGCCTTTGCAGAAGGTCTTAGGTTGTTCTATACTAATACGAATTAGGAAAACTGCAGGAAAACCTAACTCGGAGTAGCCGACAGAATGCTCGAAACTGATCTAAGGTAATTCCGATCTCTGCTTTGGTTTCCAGTGCATCTAACTTGGTACATTGGTACGATTCTAGTTTTAAGTTTCCGACCAGTTTGGCCGATGTAAAAAAGCATCGCAAGTAGTTTAATTTGTAAACACCGGATTTATCTAGTTATTGTCTATTTTATCTTTTGTCTGAACGAGGCTGTTTTGGAAATTCTCTTTGCACGAAAAGGAGATGTTGAAACGTTTGATGAAGTTTTCCATTGTGTATATGTTACCGGAAAACTGCGAAATCCGGCATTTTGCAAAATCCCTAGGCATTTTGCGAAATGACCAATGCAGCAGGCAAAGTGATAAATGGAACTCGAGTTCGCACTCCTCCTGCCTCTCTTTAGGGATTTCGCAAAATGCTTAAACGTTCAGGCAAAGGTAGAATGCTCGGATATTTTCCACAGATTTCGCGTACAGCGGTGCCAAACGTAAAACAGTCGCGTTAGTACCTTCTCCCATCTGATATATTCTCC